CGTGTGGGAGGTGCTGTCAGGCGCGGCGGCGGGTGCTCCGGGGCCGGGGCTCGCCGGCGGCGCCTCCGCCTTTAGGACGACCCTCAGCCGTCTCCGGTTCCCACTCTGGGAGCGCTGGAACGTGGGCGCTGCCCTTTCGGGCTTAGCCCGAGGCCGTGAGGCCCAGGTCGTCAGCGCGCGCGGGCACCTCCCTGCTCCTCGGCGCCCACCCTGCGGGTGCCAACGGTGTCCCTGAAAGCCCCGCCGGACCCCAGGATTCGAAGCCAGAGCTCCGGGGCAAGCTAGGTGGGCTTTAAACCCTTCGGGAAGGTGACTCCTTCCCCTCCGCCAGCTTCGCCCGTAGCGGGCCTTGCGCAGGGCTCCTCAACTCTTGGCAGCAGGCTTAGTGGGACGAGAACGGGGGGAACCCCAGGAGGAAGGTTTCCTGCAACGTGTGTAAGGCTGGGTCTGAGGCGCCCAGCGGCCCTCGGCAGGCTGCAGGTCGTCTGCCAGCCTTGGCCTTGGGCTGCCATTTAAAAGAGCCCTGGCAGAGCAGTTACGTGAGCTGTGGAGATGTGTGGGAGGCCTGCACTTATATCCTGAGGGTTTTGGCCTGTCTGATTCCTTTTGCTGGAAATAGTTTCATTCAAGTGGGATTTAGTGAAGCCAGTGAGAGAAACTGGGAAAGCAACAAGAACTTCTTTCAGTTCACTTTTTTTTTTTTTTTTTAAGCTTGTTTAAGTTCAGAGTTAGCAGCAGAAGATACGGGTGCCCCAAGTATGCTTTCCTTCTGCTCTCAGTGCTGCACTGGTACTGATGCAGACATGTGAGCCAAGCTGGAGAAACGTTCAGACTGAAAACTAACTATAAACAGCTTTTTACAGAATGCTAGAACTGTCTAGTGTAGTTGCTAGATTCATTATGTCCTGCTGCATTTCATTTACCCAAGTTTGCAAACAGTTGCCAAATTTGGGCATGCATTTATTTTTTAAAGAGTAGTAATATAGGCAAGGATTATATTTAGTTTCAGTTTAGTAGTGCGTAGGCTTAAGTTTTAGTTTGTAAAACCACATTGTTAATATCATTTCTGCCAGCGCTAAAATGTCATTAGAAAACACATTTTTGTAAAACTGGACCGGGTTAATTTTATTTCCTGCTTGTTATGCCCCTGGATTCCCATCGCCCCTCCCTGCAATCTAAACTTAATTTAAAAATGGATTACAGCTTGTAAGTCTCTTTTAAGCATTGCTAGTCCAAAAACTAATTGGCTCTATCTTTTAAAAGTGGTTACTGACGTGGGTAAGATTTTTATCTATAAGGAAGTAGCTAATTTAAATGATTGCAGCAGCAGGAGGTATTAACTGTACCTTGCAGAAATGTTATGCAATAGAAGACATCACTGGCTTGAAAGAAAAATGAACCAAAACATCGGTTGCACTGGATTCAGCAAATCATTCCCATATTAAATGAACAAAGTTATTACAAATCTGCCCGGGGCTTATCTGTTAGCTCATTCCCTAATCAGCAGAGGAACATAAACTTAATGCCAATTAAAGTAGGTTTCTTTAGGATATTCAGAACATGACAGATAATGGCCCCCAAGGTGCTGCTTGAATGACCATCAGGTGTCATGCATAACAAAGAGTAATCTACCAGTTTGAAAAATGGTTTTGTAGACATCACGCATTTGCTGATGTCTCATGCTGTAGGTCATGCCTTCATGCAGAGAAGTCCTGTTTGGAGTCACGCGCTGTTCTCTTTACTGCTGCGGATGCAGTCTTGGCCATTCTCTGTTGTGGGAATGAACTGGCATGGCCTGGCCACGTCCACCTGATGAAACTCTCAGGCCTCAGGAGAGGGCGGCTGTATGAAAAACGGCCTTTCACTAGTAGACCTGAGACAGGCTAACTCACAAATTGTGCAGGATGGTAGTTGGGCCAGGGCAAATCTGTTACAAGAATTATTACTGTTGTAGGAGCAGTGGGGAACACAGGAGGGATAGCACAGATGAAATGTAGTCTGTGTATGGTTTAATTTACTTCTGTAGTTGTAACCTTAGTGCTTTCTACAGTTAATATTTTTTTAAAGAAAGCCCTTTGTGTGAAGTCCTATCACCATTCTGAGCAAAGCTCTCTTTTACTAACTTAGGTGGAAAATAAGGATGAAGGAAATGCTGCCTTATTTTTTAAGATTTGCTGGATTGATTCCCTTCTTTGCTGATAGTGAACTTTCCTTCTCTTTGCTTTTACTACTTTGCCAGTGCTCTTTGTGTCAGACTTCAGAATACTGCGTGGAGAAGATCAGCTGTCATTTCAGAGCGAGCACTTACTGCTTTTCACTTACTGAAAAGCACAGAAAGACTTTTTGATTACTGTTAGATAAATGTTAGTCTGTGATTAGTTTTTCTAGAATGAAGGATGACTATGAGGGCAAGAGGACATCTTATTTTCAAACACTTGGAGTTCCTGTACAAGCTTCTTTGAGAAGAGACTTTAAAGTTGAACTTAAACTTTATAGGAACTGTTTCGCAACACCGTAATTATTGTACGCTGTCACAGGAGTATTTGATGCAGTCCTCCAGAACTGTTTCAGTTCTTAAATTAAAATGAAGGGCATGCTGAGTCGTTATCTTTGTTTTCTTTCAGAAAATGTCAGCTTACTGTTCAAGTTGTACTGCCTCACAGTGATGACCCTGGTTGCTGCCACATACACAGTCGCACTGCGGTACACGAGGACAGTGGAGACAGAACTCTACTTTTCGACAACAGCTGTGTGCATCACTGAAGTTATCAAGTTGTTCTTGAGTGTGGGCATCTTGGCTAAGTAAGTATGGGAATGCTAATCAGTATTTTGAAAAGGAATCCTTCCTTCTAACCTCAGATTCTCAGGTACCAAATTACATATACATGTGAGAACGTGGCTGGATAGTCATTTTAGGCTGTGGAAGAGTCATTTTACAGTGAGTTAGAGCTTGTGAGTCCTCCTCAACTGAAACTGCTTTGTAAACAGCACAATATTCAGGTGTGTCCTTTCTGCATTCATTTCTATTTTTGTATGCTTTGGAATAGGTTCAAAATGTCAGCATGCATTATCTTTGATGGTTTGGGTCTTTAAAGTATTGATATAGATGAAGGCTGGACTGTGGGCTGTTGTCTGCTGAGTTACATAGAATTGTAATGTTCATACTCATAAATTTCCCCAAACAATGTTACAGACAGACACTGTGCTGTCTCTGTTAACCTGGGGAATTGGTGCTTCAAGCCCATGGTCAGAAAATATTAGTTCCATAATCCCAGAGTGCCACTAAGAGCTAGAACTTTAGTCCACACGTGAGCATCTGAAGCAGGGAGGCTATGAGTCTGCTGTTGTTCTCTCAGCTTCCCTGTGCTACATCCTTCTTTGAAGTCTTTCTATATTGGACTTTTCCAAAGCCTAGTTCTTGCTGTTGTGGTACAATTTTTCTTTTAGGGTGCCTGCCTGTCTCTTTGTGGTATATCAGAAGGCTGGTTTGTGCTAGAGGATTGTGAAGTCACATGGTGTACTTCAGATTTTTATCAGTTTTTTTTCTAATGAACATCAAAATGGCATTTTACTTCATTTAGAAGTGCGAAGACAATATTTGAATTTGGTAATGCAGCTGTGGCAAACTGCCTTTTGCTTAACCTTTCATTAAATGCAACACATTGGAAAAGGCAAGTATGACCAGTGGCAAATTTCTGTTTTCCTTGTTATGCACCCTGGACTTCTCACTCTGCCAGGCCAGCACAAAATGTTGGCAGAAGTGTCTCTGCTGATGGGTGGTTGCGTTGTGGTTCTTGGTGTTGTGGTCAGCATGCTTTCTGGAGGCTTCAGCAGCCCACGTTTGTCAGTGGTGAGGGACCTGTGGGTGGCATTTGGTAGCCTCACCTGTGCATATAATTTCTCAGATCTGTTTTTATGCTTCTGGGCTCCAGGCTGTTTGTAGTATACTGGAGAGGCCTAGTTCAGCAGGGTAAGCAATCTGCCTCCTGTTAAGTGTCAGTAATATTGTGTTCATAAAGTGTATGAGTGGGTTTTTTTTTTCTTGAAATAATTAAAAAGGCAATCACTTTTAACTCATAAGTCTGTTATGTTTTTAGAACAGCCCTGCACAGCCAAAAATCCATGTAGCCCATTGCCCTCCCTTTGACAGTAGTCAGCAGAGGATGCTTAGAACAGAGATATTAGGTAGTAGGGCAAGCACAGCTGAGCTTTCCTTAGTTGGTGGCAAAAGCATGGGGCTTTCCCAGCCTGAGCTGTTTGTCAGATGGGAAAAGATCTGGTGAATCCTGCTTGGTGTAGCCAGAGGCCCTTTGGCACCTGTTGAAAGATTCGTTTTGGATATCACATATAATTGAGTATGATTGTCAACATTTGCCAGTTTCCTAGTAATCTCCCATTTTAGATCACTTACGAATATGCTGATCATCGTATTTTCCTCAGTGTCTCCTTTACAGCTTCTTCCAGTCCTAACCAATTTGTCTCACCCAAGACAAGGTGCCTTTCAAGTTTAATAACCAGTTAGCAGACAGAATACAATGTTTTTTCTGTACAGCAAGATATATTTGAGTGGGTACGTTTTTGAAGCAGCCAGCATGGATTACTGCAATATGCAGGATATTGGACTATGACTCTCGCATTGTTCCGGCAGAATTTGTTTTCCTACACATTCTTACACTCTGTATTCACTGTGTTTACTTTTAAGGTTTTTTCCTGGAAGGCATATTGAATGGTCTTTCAAAAGAGAAGTTTGTGATAGTTTAAGCTATGTTAATTGTTTATTCAGTTGTACTCTGAACTTCTATTTATTTAAAGTCCAATTCACCATCTGGTAATTACATTGTCTACATTCTTAGATGTACGTAATTACTTCACAGTGGATGAAGAGAAGTAGAGCTGATTTGCAAATTCTAATTTTAACTTCAGCTTTTCTAACAAATACATCTTCTTCTGTTGCAGAACTGGTTGTTATTAGTATCTCTCACCTGTTCAGACCTGTGAAGAAAATAGAGTATGTTTTTAAAGTTGAATCTGGATCAACATCAAGAATGTTGAATTCAAGCTAGATTAATTTTTATTATTTGATTTTACAGTGTACATCTCTGGACACCTTATTTTGCATTATCATCTGTACACAGAGGCTTGTTTTAGATTCTCTTTTGTGTAGTTCTGAATCACTCTGCACGTGATCTTTGTACTGAATTGAACTTGCAGTTAGAGATTCTTGATAAGTGCATGCTTCAGAAAGCACACCCCTGTAAAGATGAATTATTAGATAGTTCATCTTGTTCTCAAAAACTGAAGTGAAAATTGTGCTTATTTGACATCTGTTATTCTTCATTGCTGAAATTCCGTGCTAGAAGTCAGAGTAGACAGAAGCTACTATTACTGCTGTGATTTGACTTTAAATGTGATCGTTTAATTCACCAAGCATGGTCTGGAATAGAAACTGGTATAGTTTAAATATTATTTTCTGTTGGACAGCACACCTTACCATCAACAAATAGTAGAAACCACTAGTGTGTGCTAATTTTTTACTTCTTAATCACACAGAGTAGAACTGTATCTGTGCTAATTATATTTTATTTGCAGTTAGATGTTTGAGATGGAAGCACTTTAGTCCAGCTGTACTTGGGTATTACCAGGAACTCTGGGTTTTCTTGTACATTTTATCTCCCAATGTTGGGCTATAAAATAAATACAGGTATTGAGGAATAAGTAAACCAACAATTTTGCCTATAATGTCAATGAGTCATAACATTTTATGCAGTTCTGTATGTAATGTAATTAACCATGGTGAGCTGTAGCAAGAACTCTTCCCCTTCCTGGTATTGCAAACTTTGCTTTGAGTGTTACTTGTCTATATATTTGCATGTCAATGGTTGTCCCTTGTGGCCAGATGTGTATTGCAGAAGACACCTATGTGACATGCTCGGTGTCACCAAGTCTGTCTCAGGCCAAGTACCCACTTAAGCTAGGAAGGAGCTTCACATGTGAGCTCGCTTGTACGACAACATGCTAACCTCTGTTTGGTAATTGCACTGCCCCTGACTCTGTTTTTTTGTGTGTGCTCTGTGTTACAGGAAAATGACAAAAAGAATCCCTTGCAGCTGCCTGTATAAAGACTGCTCTTGCTACAAAAAAGGGGGGGGAGGGGCAGGGAGAAAAGGAGGTATATGCTTGGTGCCAGCCAGGTAGGTAGGCAAGGGAGGAGAGAGGAGAGATACTTGGATGGAAGGAACATGAGAGGATAGTCCATAAATACTTGCAGAGGAAAAGTTCAAGAACCTGGAGTCAAGGGTTGATCAGGAATGGAAAATACACAGGAACAAGGTGGTTAATGAAGGAGCCTGGGGTATAGACAGATTGTTGATTCTGGTAATTGCTACTAAGAGTTTAAGGCAGGTAGATGAAGTACATTTGTGAAAAAGAAAGAAGTTGGGATGTGGGTGAAATGTGGAGAATTGGGCTTCTGGAGTGCTGCGGAGCCATTTGCTCATATGTGTGTGTAACAGAAGCGTTCAATTCAAGAACAATAGAAGTTGCAAGTTGAGAGGCCTGTGGGAGGGGAGAGGAGTGATTTTGGAGGTTGATATTTGTCAGTGGCCAAGCGAGAGAAGAATGTAAATGGGGGAACACGGGGGGAGACCTGGGAAGGGAGCTGGAAGGCTTGAGTAGCAGCGACAAGTAAGCAGGAAATGTCAGACTGATGGACAAATGATAAGGGAGAACTAGCAATGCAGAGGTCAGCTTTATTAAGCTGAGGAGCAAGCCACAAAAGGGGACAGCAGCAAGAAACAATGTGTTCTTCCCCACTGCCTGCTCTGGTGCAGGCTGTAATTACATGAAGGAGACGTGTGAAGATGTAAGGTGACAGGGAGCTGCCACACGTCCCACCAGACCTCTTCACATGTGTGCTTGTGCTGGTCCTGGTCCCACATTTCTGCAGCACATGTGAGAAGAGGAGCCCAGAGCTGGCTGAAGAATGAGAGGTGTCTCCAGCTCAGCGGTGTTCATGGGTACAATCTCTTTTGGCTGCACTTTGAGGCCCAGTTTAAACAGGACCTGGAAAATCACGGGCATTTGACATCTCACACATGTTAATACAAAAAAAAGGGAGGGGGGAGGATATCGACAGCCTTCTGTCCTACTGCCTGTATACTTAGTGACTTATTCCACTGTTTACAGTGTTCATGGTTGTTGTTTACTTTATTACACATTAATGCATCTAACCTCCGGATTCCAGAGTGTCTGCTTCACCTTCAGGGCTTTCTACCTGTTGATAACTTCACTGTTTTTTCCCAGTTAATTTTTCTTTAATGAGCAGAAGCTACAACTGATTGCAGAGAACAAATTCTCAGCCTTCCCAAAGGAAGAATTTTCTGATTTTTTTTCAAATATCAGTTTAAGAGAGCTCTCAGTTATATTAATCTTTTATTTTGCAGAGAAACTGGAAGTCTGGCAAGGTTAATAACATCTTTAAAAGAAAATGTATTTGGAAGTCCTACAGAATTGCTAAAATTAAGTGTTCCGTCTTTGGTATATGCCCTCCAAAACAATATGGCATTTGTGGCTCTTAGCAACTTGGATGCGGCAGTCTACCAGGTAAAACATGTTTTTGTCAGTAACTGATATGTAAATACATTTCTCTTCAGTGCTCTGTGAGGCATGCGTGCTAGGCATCTGCCTGCCCAGCACACAGTTCCCTCTGTAGCCTCAGTGTTAAAAGCCAAATGGGGCTTTGTAATATTCGGAGCATACAGTCTGTTGCAGTACTCTGATTTTATGAGTACCCCACTCACTGCTAGAATCACTTCAGATTCACTTTGTTGTAATTGGCGAGGGTACACAAACCCAAGGATCTGCAGGAAATCAATGAGTATAAAATTTTATGTCTCATTGTGTAGTTGAGTTCTTGATTTCCTTTTCTTGTTTCGGAGAAGTTCATAAAGCCACATCCTCTGTGCAATATTCCCATCTTCTGCAGGTGACGTACCAGCTGAAGATCCCTTGTACAGCTTTATGTACAGTCCTAATGCTAAACCGTACCCTTAGTAAGTTGCAGTGGTTCTCTGTCTTCATGCTGTGTGGTGGTGTTACCCTTGTCCAATGGAAGCCTGCTCAGGCTACAAAAGTACAGGTAAGAGTTTACATTTTCCCACTTCACAACAAAGAATAAACTACCTTATGCTTTGTATTTCAGTTCACAGCAGCTGGGATCAAGGCAAAGTCTCTTACATTCCAGACAGCAGCATCCGTTTCCTATTTCCAGCCACTTCATCTACAATAACCACTTGTTTGATCATTCACTTTTACATTTGTTGTACGCCAGTTCATGCAGGCTTGCGGTATTGCTCCAGCCTCATTTGTTGGAAAGGCACCTGATTGCTACAATTAGTATGAATTACCACAGTCATCTTAAATCAGTGTAAGGCACCTCATAGGAGTATCTGAGTAATACATTGTTTCCAGCAGTTGGCCCTGGTATTGTAATTGTTGGAGCAGAGAACTTGGAATGGAAGCAATGGAATTGGTTGAATTAGGAATGAAACTCCAGTGCCTTATGGGTGTGGGTATGTCATTGAAACACACCCTTCACGGGCACTGACCTAATCCCCTTCTAGGAAGAAACAAGTGTCTTCTGTTTCTTAGGTTTTCACTGCTGGTCAGCAGCATTAGTGGGAAAGGCAGGTCACACAGCTGGGAGACTGGCCAAAGCCACGTAGACAGTGCCTCTGAGCACTGCAGGGCTTGGTAAGAGTTACACATGGAAAGTGAAACACCACACAGCTACACCAGGCTAGGCTGAAGGACAGCTCTAGCAAAGCAAGTAATCTTACACTGTAATGAAATGCTAATAATTTTGCTGTATTTAACAAAGTACCTCTGGAGTTGATTATTGTAAATTACTGAAGTGTTGCATCCTTTTTAAAATAATGGTTGCTGTTGCAGGTGGAGCAGAATCCATGGCTAGGGTTTGGAGCGATTGCTGTTGCTGTACTGTGTTCAGGATTTGCAGGTACAGTATTATTTCCGTACGCAGGTCACATCAAAAGGACTGGAGAACTCATGATGTTTAAACAGAACATTCTACATTAGTTAACTGTCTTCGCTTATTAGAAGATAAAAAACTACTTTATCCCCTCTGCCCACAACTACCTTCTACTTGCAGTAATTATGACAGATTCGTGACATGATTCCTTCAGTTGTCAAGCAAATACTAAGAGCATGTACTATTGATTTTACGTGATGCAACTTAGAAAGCTGGTTTGCAAGTGGAAGTGTCTTTCAAATGCTTAGAATACTACTGTAGGGAACATCCATAATGACTCACTCAATACAATTAATTAATTACATCAATTTTTTAAAGTAGGCTTTACAGTGAATAGCTCCCTTATGGTGATCACATTAAATACTTGCTTTTTTTTTTATAAGGGGAACTGAGGTCCTCGTTTAGTTCTAGCTCAGACCTGAAATACACGTTGCCATAGTCCTGTAGGTGGTAAATCTAACCGAGGTGCAGAGGCAGCATTAGTAAGGCAGAGAGGAAGATGAGTAGCAGGAAGCCTAAATTAACTGCATGAAGGATTTTTGTGTTTGCTTGGTTAGGTTTTGTTCTACAACCAGCATTTTCCCTCAAGAGTAGTTTTTCTCTGGCATCTGCAGAAGGAGGCCAGAACTTGAGGACAAGTGAGCTGATGCTGAGAAATAAGGGAAGTGCAAATTACTACTTAATTTGAAATGTGGCTCACAGGGCCATATTTCCCTCGCTGTAAACTGGATTCTTCCACCTCCCTCTGTAAGAAAAGAAGGTACCATCACCCACCTCTAGTACTGTACAATCCTGCAAGAATAAAGCTGTTACTCATGGAAAAACATTCTGGTTGGCAGGGGATGAAAGGAGGAAGGTGTCATTCTTGTTTGTGTCTTTTCAGTGAAAAGGGGCACTTTGAAGCAGAAATACTAAATGAGATTGCATAGAGCTCAATCAGCTTTTCCTGGAAGGTTGTAAGTTTACTCATTCCAATAGATGCCACAAACCAGAATACAGCATTGACAGTAAAGCTTTCAGATCCTAAGACTCTCTGGCTTTCTCTGGTAAGGCAGGTAGACAGCTCTTCTTCTAAAGGTCTGCAGATTCAGGCCATTGAAAGGTGGATGCAGGCAGCTCTAAGAGGATTTAGACACATATGGCTTTCTTGTCCTGCAAAAGGACTGCAGCTTGGCTGTTTCCTCACTGACAGCTGTAGCTTTGAGGCAGCTGGGAGGACAGAGTATTTCATCTGAGGAGCTTTTTGTGCTTTTGGGGCTTTACGTGTTGAAAACATAAATCCTATTCAAACTCCTTTCCTCTTCTTCCTTCCTACACCCACATGAAGAAGTTATTTTGGCCTTAAACCTTCAGTTTCTGGACTGACCATGTTAAATGTTTGTATTACTCTAGCAAAGTCAGTTACGTGTTTTTGAAAAGCTTTTTCTTCAAATTGCTGATCCTGTGGTAATTTCCAAGTATCTGTGGGCCCAACAATGCATATAAAAGCATTGGACAAGTACAGAATGGCAGATGCTTTGTGACTTGAAAGAATACTGAAGAGTAATTTCTCCTTAACAGCACCCATTCTTTCCTTCATCTTGCCTAGTGATTTTTTTCCTTTTTAATGCATTTTCAGAAATCTGAAAGCATACTTTCATTGGTTTGTTTACTGTTTTCTTACTTTATAAAATGTACAAGTATGGTTCATATTCAAGCCAGATTTCTGGTAAATTGATTACATCTGGTTGTGCTCTGGGTCTTCTCAGCGGGAAGAAATCTCGAGATAGATTACTTGGGATTCTTTTAAGCACTACAGTCATTAACAATACTAGGTGGTTTTTGATACGTTTAGACTTCAGAAATGTATATTTATATGAGATAATATAATATTTCCTTGGGGTTTTTTATTATTTGAACCCCTGAAATATAAATCTGTTCTCTTATTTATTCACCATAAATATTCACTATACTGTATTAAATTATAAATTGCATTTTTCATAAATAAAAGAGTAGCAAGACCTTCCTTGAAGCTACTGCAGGGATTTCAGGAGAGGCGTGTGCCTAGGGCTTCTAAGCCACAGGTCTCTTCTCTGTGCCATCCTTGTCAGTTCCATATATTTTTTTCCTATCATATGAAGGACTTTTGCTGACATTAATCAGCAATAAAATTTTAGTCAGTAGGGCTCACACCAGGAGGTCATGGAAGTGGCTGAGAAGATCCAAGCCCTGCTCTCTGTGTAGCAAAGTCCTGGTGTGGGAGCAATGGTTAATAAGGCAGGTAGTCATGGCCCTGTCCCATGTCGGCCTTCTAGTCTGACATATGCCTCCTAAGTAGAATAATGAAAAAGTATTTGGGGAATTTTCAGTAATGCAGAGCATAGAAGTAATGCTCATCAGCATGGCACTGTGAACCAGAGCTTTCGATTACAATGAAACCAAAAAACTCAGAACCAATCTGTAGTTTCAATTAGCAGGAGGCAACCATTTTGATTTGCTCTTGTAACCCCTGAAGCTGTTGTTTCAGAACATTGCCACTCTGCCAAGTGCTCTGCAAGCACAGGGCTTCTGTGGAATTTTCAGTCTCAGTACTGAAATTATTGCTGAGGTAATACAGTCCCACCCATTTGTAATTTTTTACTGCCAGTTATGCCAATGGAGGGAAAAAAAATAGTTCTACATCATGCTAAAATAGATAAATACTGTCCTGGGGGCAAAATACCAGGTGCCAAGGCGAAACACCTTTTTTCTGGTGTAGAATTGTATAGAAGTTCTGCTGGACAGAAGCCTGGCAAATCAAACAGAAATAAGGAGTAGTTTCAATTAGTGGTGGGGTTCATTGTTACAACAACTGTAAAGAGAAATAGAATCTACATCTGATGTTATGTACATTAAAATGATGCTATTGTGGAAGACACACGTTAGTAGGGTGTGTTGTTGGGTCCTTGGCACTGGGAACTTCTGTGAAACTTCGCAGTCTTGTAGGACAAGATGATTCCAGTAGTCTTATCTGGCTCTAAAACACTATGAACCATGAATCATTAAGGAGGACACTTCATCTCACTGAAACTTTTTTTTTTTTTTTTTAGGAGTTTATTTTGAGAAGGTCTTAAAGAGTTCAGATACTTCTTTGTGGGTGAGGAATATTCAGATGTACTTATCTGGGATTGCAGTGACTTTATTTGGTGTGTACATGTCAGACGGAGCCCAAGTTCTTGAGAAAGGGTTTTTCTATGGCTATACATACTACGTCTGGTTTGTCATCTGTAAGTATCTTGTGGGTTTAGGGTCTTCTTACATTGTTTTGCTTTTTTAACTATGATATAACTAATTGCATGAAGCTACAACCTCAGTCTGACACACTGGTTTTTACTCTGTTTGGATGGATTTTATTTAAAAGTATAGTTTTCTTAAAAATTATTTACTGTTCATTTTAAACTTGTGTTGAAACATCTATCTAAATGACTGAGTAGTGACTAGATAATTTTTAAGTGAGTCGTATCTGATCTACTAGATGCCATGCAGACATCCCAATCTGATGAATGTTGCATTAAATCACCAATTAGGACGAGGTAGCCCAAACAAGGAGTACACCGGTGGAGTAAAATGCATCATTTCAAGAATCACCTACTGCATCTTTACTAATAGAATCATGTTATCTGCTTTCCAGTTCTCGCCAGTGTAGGTGGCCTCTACACCTCGGTCGTTGTTAAGTACACAGATAACATTATGAAAGGCTTCTCTGCAGCGGCAGCCATTGTTCTTTCTACTGTGGCATCAGTCATCCTCTTTGGCCTCCAGATAAGTAGGTGCCTTTTTGCCTTTGATTTCACTGTACGTGCACGTTTCCTTCCTGGCTAGCAGGCTGTACAGAGTTTATACCAAAGCGATCATTTGCGCCTCCTTTGAATTTTTCTGGTTTTAACTTGGTCTCCACCACACCAGGACTCCTGTGCACGAGTGTGTAATCTGTGTTGTGTGACGTCAGGTGCCTGATGATCCCGTGCTTCTGAAGGCATTCACGGTTTGTTTGGTCAGAGGCACCCTACAGCCTCAGACGGAAAGGTTCTTTCTGCTTTAAACAGCTTACAAGTTTATACAGCTTTTATTCATGAACCACTTGCTGATGCAATTTAGTGCATCATACACCTGAGACTGCTGTGGTGAGTTATCTTTTCTTGTTGGCTGTACAGCCCAGTGCCAAATGAATTCCTCAGCTATTTCTGCAAGGGCTTTACACTTCCCTGTTAAGTTATACTCGCTGCTGCGTTAATTTTTACCTTCCCTATTTGCTGTGGACACCACCACATGAGAGTGAGTCAAACAGCCGCTGGAGTCATGAGGCTGTGGTGAATAGTTCTGAGAGGAAACAGCAGATTGCTTTGGGTGTTTCTGCAACTACACAGGATTTTCTCCCTGATCAATTCTGTGTCTGATACTCTACCTTATAACTTCTGCTCAGTCTGTCACTGTTTTGGGTATTTTTCACTTTCCTATCATAACCCATGTATGGTGTAATGGTGGAAAAACTAGCTTTCTGATGTGGCGTCAATGAGATGAAACTTAAGGAAGGTTTGCATAAGGAGAAAATCTTCAGTGTGTGGCTGAAAAAGAGCACCTTAAAACAAGTGATAAAAAACATAACTAGTTTTCAAGACATCAAACCTGAACTGGTAATCTTTCTGTGAAAGCCTCATTAATAGTGTTTCTTAACTCTGTCCACAAGTGGGAAGGCAAACAAGATGTGTTATCAGAGGCTACTTTATCCCATCCACCATGTCTTCATCATTAGGTTTATTGCAACATAAGCCTGTCAGATGGCATCTGGCACTGCAGATGTTTCACACTCGCTTCTCTGACCATCACCACGTTCTTGCTGATACAAGACTAATTGAAGTGGTGTGGGGATTGTAAACATTCCAAGTGTTTTCAGTGACAGAGGGCCAGTCTAGATTCTGTGTATTATTAACAGCTTGTCCTGTTTAGTTTTGAGTAATTTCAATACTGTCATTCAGTTATCATTCTAATTTATATAGCTTAATCTTTTGAAGGTTTCTTCTGATACGGAGGTGTTTGTTTCAACTGTTTTGTCTCCTTTCAGCTGTTACCTTCTCCCTGGGTGCTCTCCTGGTGTGTATTTCTATTTACCTCTATGGATTACCTCGACAAGACACCACAAAAATCCAGCCATCAGAGACTAAGAACTCAAAAGAGAGACTTGCTACTGTGTGATGTTGTCCATAAAAAATGGACAGACAAGAAGAAAATTGGACTTTAAAAGAACCTACATTTTTTAAAAATTAGCCTTAAGCTAGTCATGAAATGGTTTAAATGGGATAGACTAAAAGCAGAAGTTATTTCTGTTTTACATGTGAAGTTTCCAGTAGCTGATGCTGAGGCTACATTACGGCCGCGGAGCTGGATGGGCATTTTATTGAAGGCGTTCTTCATTCACATCGGACAACGAAGAGTCCCAATTACAAGGAGAATAGAATGAAGGAACTGAACACTCACTTGTATATAATGTACATAATGGGGAGAAAGCGGTTCTTTGTGTATTTGATAAACTGTCTTGCCCTTTGAGGGTAGAAATGCTCAAAGACTTCATGAAAATCTATTAAAAAGAGCAATTACTGCCAGCATTTTCTCTTAAAAGAGGTGCAACTACAGTGTGATTAATGACAGGAAGAGTTTCTCTTCTGAGTGAAACATATGTGATGACACAACTCCCCCAGGAATTAACTATGCTTCAGGCATCACCTACCTAGAAGGGAGTAGAAGCAGCACTTTCTGTTTGGTTTAAAAAGTCAGAACAAAAAAGGGGTATTTCTCTTAAGTTGCAAGTTTTCTTTCACTTTTCAAATGTTTTTTTATATCTGCTGTATCTGGTAGAGGGATTATCCTCTCCCTCTCCTCTCCTGTTGTACAGGGGAAGGTTCATTTGTTCTTGTATCTCTGGCTTAAGTATGAATGAGTCAATTCAGTGTCAGACAAGATTTTCATCTGTACATTTTCTCTCTAAACTTTTTTGTGCATACAGAGGGATGGCTGAAGGGAGTTAGTAATGCATGTTAGGCTTTGATTTAATTTATCAGTGAGTGCCAACTGTGTAATTTCAACCTCCTCCCTCATTTTCTGAGCTCATCCAGAAGCTGCAACTCTGTGTTGAGGGAAAACTGACTTGGGTGCATTTGGGCAACTTCAAAATGGAGTCAGAAATGTGACCAGGTTTGTTTATATCCTGGTTAGATTCCTTCAGATGTGAGTTAACCAGCTGGATTTTACCCAAAAGTGGGGTATCTTAAAGACAGCAGTAACAAACATGCTTAAATTCTGTTCTGGGGAGAGGGTGCTCCTCTATTCCGTGTGTCCTGACCAGCCTGCCACTGAAGTGCCACCCAGATGCGTTGGGGCTTCTTGCGTGTTATGGTGCTGAGGGAGTGCCACGGGCAGTTCCCGCTATACCGGCTGGGCAGCAGACCCACTTCTGCCTGGTCATTGCCTTGGTGTGACAGGTCTGGCAGCTGATCTTGGCTACTGTTACTGAAGGGGGGAGTGCAGTGCAACACAGGAAGAAAATTCTCTGGCATGGTCTGACTCATTCCCTTTGTTACAGTAGAGAGAGCACCTGTAGCTGGTGTACACAAGGCAAACCACAGGAGGGGAGTGTCAATTGCTCAGGGCAGCACAGTCAGTGCCACTTCCCTTACCAAAAGGATGTTACATTTACAAAGGTGACTACAGTTCTCTTATGGGAAATGCCATGTGCCTGGGAGAAAGCGACTGACAGCCCTGTCCTCCCCTCGGGGCTGTGCCATACATGGGCCAGAGCGTACAAACCTCCAAGAGCAGACAGAGTTTCCAGACTGCATTACCAATGACACACAGAACAGTATTTATATTATCTTGGAAAAAAATTATTTTACTAAAAGATGTGACTTTTACATTGCAAATAGAGCCTCATTACATTTGAGTTACAGGTGTAATGCCAAGAAGTTTCATTCCGTTGGCTAGAACCGAGCGTGCAGCTTGGAAGAGACAGAGCCTTGCCTGGAAAAGGAAAACAGCCATCAGCTTATGGTATTGCTACAGAACAGGGCACAGCTCTCAGGACAGCAGTTAGGAGCAGCCTGCCAGAGGTAGGAACACTGCACTTCCTCTGTCCACAGGAAAGGCGCTGGGATTCAGACATGCATATAAGCTGAGTACTGAGAAATGCACTGAGTAACAGACCAGCGCTGGCAGGATTCACACCTGCCCACGGCAGTGTCAACAGAGAGAGACTCTGTCAACAAAGGGAAGCTTGGAAAGGGTGTCCAGCCCAGTCTGGTACCCTCCAGGCAGAGCAAGCAGAGGCAATGCCTGCAGGAGAGCTAGCAGTGACTAAGAAGTGAAAAATCTTTCATGCACCCCAGGCTGGTACAGCCCGAGGATGTGCCTGGGTTAAGAGGCTGGCAAGCAGCTACAGGCTGCTTTAGAAATGTCACTCCTCCTTGTCAGTACCTTGGCTGTTACACAGCTGGCTGTTTGGGAAGGCTTTATCAACCTTGCTGCAAAAAATAGTAGTTCTTGAAAGCTATCACACTAAGATATTTAGAAATATCTTTTAACAGTATAAGGAACTGTAATTTTCCTTGTAGCTTAGACTGTCTTAGCCAATCTTCAAAGGCAGGAAGGAAAACCTACAGCATCTAAGCTCAAGTACAGAGTGCAGCTCCATCAATTCCACTGAGATGTTTTTCCCCACAACACAGTTCAACACTTAGATGTGACTTCCAACCACAGTCAGCTACGTAACTACTTTTGAAATAGATGAAAGAAAATAAAGGCAGTGTAATTAGTATATCTTTACTGACCAGTTAAGGGGTCAAACATTGCCCGGTAGATCCATAGAAAAGTAATTTGCATCTATTTGGAACTGCACATTAACAGTTGTCAGCCTCCCTGCTTTCACTGGAAATGCAACACAGGCAACCTGGGATATGTAGGTGGCAAGAGGGAGGAGACAGATTCAGTTACCTCATAATTCTGTCTTCCCATGTAACCACTGAAGGAAACCATAAGAAATTAACCCACAAATTAAATGCTCAGATGTTTACTTTTAAAAAGTTCAGAAGGGAGGGTGATGAGAAGGCAAGGGGTTTGACTGGGTGTGGAGTGATTGTCCTTGTGGCAGAATCTTTTTTTGAAAGATGAGGCAAAGCCACCCGTCCCCAAAGGCCCGGCCCAGGAGCAGTCCCTGCCTTCCCACAGCAGCGCTGCCTGCGGAGAGCCGGCTGGGCAGCTCCCCCACCTGCAGCGGCTGCGCAGCCGCCTAGGCACAGCCCGAGCAATCGGCCCTCTGCGACAGGATCAGCCCCACACAGACTCCGGCCACGGACAGCGCTGTGCCGTACCTGGGCTAGTTCAGGGGCGCTGTCTTTCACAGGAAGGGTTTTATGTGCCATGGCTGCCAGATGGCTGAAACGGAAAACATGGTGAGAATGGTGAGAATGAGCAAGTCTCCTGAGCGGAGCAGTGCGATGGGCTACAGCGAGCAGCAGCACCACCACAGACTTCTCTCCAACTGCCTCTTTCACCCATCTGAGGGAGGGCATGGTTTTCTGTGGCCTGCATGTTGTCAGGGCATGCCATCAACAATGCAATGCTTGTAAAATAACTCCAAAATATTCACTCCCTCCACCTAAAAAGAAAGATCCTTGAGAGCCTTCCTTGTCATTCCTAAGGTGTGTGATTCCTTACACAGTTTTCCTTACCTTGTTAAATCATTCCCCGTACACAGGCTCTAAAGTTTCCTCAGCAAATATACTCCAGTGCTTCAATGTGCCTTTAAATCAGAGAGGTCCCTGTGGGGACCTCCCTACAGATCATGACTTACAGTAATAATATGCTTTGGCCATCTGAACGCACAGGCTGAGATCAGTGGTTAAAAGGGATTTGAACAAAATCTCCTACCTGAAATTTTCAGATTTGAGAGCTTTTAAGCTCCAATCTGCTCTTTAAGATACAATTAGTCCAGGATGATTTTGGGTTCAGACACTGAGTTGCAACCAAGTAACTAACTCTTTTTTTCTTGAAGCAATTAGTTTCTGAGGTGGCTTCTGGCTCCTTTGTTTCTGGTTCCAACCTTGATCTCTACTATTTATTATATTATTTGCTATCCTACTTATACCTTTCCTGCTCCAGAGAAGCTGTTCCACAAATTTACATCTTCCCCCTATTTTTAATCTTCAAAGCAGTGCAGATGTGAGGGTGGCAGAGCCGGCTCAGGAAGACCTGTCCTTATTGGAGACAGATGCCAGTATCTGCAACCACCTTACCTGAGTGTGAGGAGGTAGCTGACAATGTGTTTGGGTTGCAGATCCTGAGAAGATCTATACAGGACCTCATCATACCTGTGAAGAAAGAAAAAGATTGATTGGTGTTAAAGTGCTAGGAAGCACTCAGATAGAAGGCTCATTACACTTGCTTGTCAGAACAAACACACAACCACAACTGCAGAATTACCAAAAATAATTACCAGACCTAAACCATGTAATTAGCACACAATTGATTATTCCTTCCTTGTTCACTTATTACTGAAGGAGATTGCTTCTGCTCCTCATCATGCAAGCACTGTAGATGGCAGAGCTTGGGGAGACAGGCTACAGCTGGGAGAACACGAGAGCTATATTTGCTCCTGGAACATTATGTCTGGTTTTACATTTCAGCACTAATTGTAAATTCCTAGGAGCAAAAAGCATGTATTAAATAACTAAGGCAGTCAAAATAGTCCCTTAGAGGATGCTGCCTTTAGTAAATGCAGCTTAGAATTTTATGTAGCTAAAAGGAATCTTGTAACATTAGAAAAGAGAAAAACAAAGTGTGTTTACATAATCCTGGAATGAAATCGACTTATGTAAGACAGTATTAAACTGGGTAATACAGGCAGTTATGGAGATCTCTGTTTTTTCTTCAAGTGTTCTGCTATCCACTTGTGCACATCCTCTTTTTCACAGCCTGCAAGAAGTTCCAACCCCTCTGAGGCTGAACAGATTTCAAACTCAAAGTGTGGAATGGACTTCCTGGTCTTTGCTCAGCTCCCAGGCCCATCGCCACCAGCATGCCCAAGCTGAGCTTCCCTGGGATCTTCCTCCTTTAAAGGCAAGCTGCAGGAGAACCAAGGAGCGAGCTCTGATAATGAGGGCTCGGTTGTCACGTAGGAGCTAAAGCACCAGGGAGGGAGTGCTCCCCATTTCCTTGGCACATAAGCTACGAAAACATCTCTTACATGTGCATTCAGCACCTCAACACAGCCAGCACGGCCCTGCAGCCATGCCCCTTTATAGCACTGCCCAACAGATGAGAGAGAGAGAGAGACAGAATCAGGGGAACCTCTGCATTGCCTCACGGACAACAGACACCAGCAGCTCCTGGGTCTGCAGTGACAGCTGACTATTAATTTAACAAGCACCATCAAACAGCCATTAAGCAACAAAGTTGGTATCAAATGAAGGGGCCCTCTTTTCATACCAACTCTGTTGCTTCTTGAAATTGCCATTTCAATGTTGGCTTACAACTCGTTTGATTATTTTATGAGTTAAGTAAGTCCACTCTCGCTGGGATATACATGCTACCTGCAAGCTCCTATTCATTACTCTGCAAAGTTAATACCATTAAGAACTGGTCAGCTAATTTTAAGGGCAAATGTCTGGTAGCTTTTCAAACAGCAGAAGCAGCGTCATGGGACATGGGCTTCTGACAACTCAGGAGTGTTTATGATGGAAATTTTTCAAGAAGAACTCACTCATGGCAACTCACAAGGAGGGCTGAACAGTAATTGTTGCTCCTGAAACCATGCGATATTTAAACCTGAGTTTGTTAGTCACAAAGTGCCTGGTCTAATGGATAATGTAGATACTACCTTCTGCTGGAAGCGAAGGCCCCATGAGATGTTTCATAGAGATTCCGTGTGATGCCTGGCCAGACTCACAAGGCCTTTGCAATAAGCAGACCTGAAGCTCTATGAAAACAAGAGCCCCACAGTGGAGCAATAACCTCTGTTTGAAAATGGACATGTGTCTGGGATGTGGTAATCCCTGTAAATCAACCTGAAATACATTAACCCTGTCATTTTTCACACACAAGACAGGCAGCTATACACTAATTCATAAAAACCAAGAAACAACCCATGAGTTTTCTGTGAAATACAACTGCACTGTACAAATAAGACAATGCTGGTCTTATTGAGTGTGCTGGCTGTCTTGCTGTTGTTGTTCAAGAGAGCATGGAGCATACCATAAACTGCAGGCCTTTTGAGGCAACTACAGTTAATGCAGGACTCTGCAACCTACAGCTGCAGGCTGAAAGGAGTCACCTGGGACTCTGGAATGACTTTTGGAAGTCTAAAGTTTAGACAGATGTCCTCAAGAAGGCCATAGTGTGGCCAAAGGAGTTAACTTTCTGGCACCATGCAGTGCGCATTGTGGTATACAGGACCTCTCACTAGGAATTCTGAAATCCTCATTAGTTCCAACTCCATCACAGGCTGCACAGCCTGGATAACTCCCCTGTATTTTAATTACACACCTATGAAATAATGAAAACTGAAACTTTAGGACTGAATGAAGAACATTACTGCTATTAACAGGTATTAGTTCAGTAGGTCTAAAGAATGTTGAGCTACTGAACGTGCATGCACATACTCCATTTCACCTCACCCAGGAGCACTTCCTCTCCCCTTTCCCACATAACAAAAACTGAACAAGAGGGACCAAACAAATTTGCAGCTAATATTTATATAGAGCTTAGCATATTTCTGTGAATACAAGAAATAATTAAGAGGCTCATGTACACAGTGTTTTCCAAATATTGCTTTTTCCCTGATATGGCTTCTAAAGTCCACAAAAGTTTCGAGTGAGGGCTACCATTGCAATCAGTGTGACCCAACAGACAAGGCATTGCCTGAAATAGCCATTTGTCTCTTATGATCATGCAGTCTGTGCCTGCTCAACAGGCTGGCAGCAAATCCAGAAGTTTATTTTAAGGGAACTGGTATTTGGAAAGAAAACTAGACGAACCTGAGAAGATGCTGAAGAACAGAGATGGCATCTGGCTCTTGCAAGCACGCCACATTAATGTCAGTTAGCTGCTCATTCCCATGCATCTGTTCTAAACTAAAATGTAAAAATGAAAAACAAATGTTGGATGAAAAACTCTTGTTAGCAAAGCTGAACGAGAAAAACAGTAATTTGTGTTTTCAAGAAAAAAGGGTAGGCATCTTCTGCTCAAGCAGAATGGAACACTGATACAGACTAGCTGACTTCAAACCAAGATAAAAAAATTAAAATCTGTGCTACCCATTTACTATCAGCAGGATTAGAGATGTGCATGAACAACACTCCATATCCAGAAGCGGATGCTATAAGGAGCAGGGAAGTAGTCACTACTCTGGTACCAGTACCCTAGTACTGCCATTATTACCTAGATGAAAAGGGAGTACAAGAGGAACAGACTATAGAAGGGACTGGGCTTGCATGCTCTGCCTGAATACCATCTCCTGTTACCATTGCCTCAGAGTACCAGGCTGGTACAGACCTTTGGCCTGATTCAGGAAGGTATCTCACATGCTTTTATGGAAATACATATCGATGTTTGCATTAAAAATGCTCTGACAAATCACTCTGATTGATAAAACTGTTCAAACTGGCCTGAGTCAACAGCAAAGGGTCTGCTTTTAACCTTGGTTACTAACAGTGGGAAATAACAGAATGTTAAAAAAAAACCCTAGCTACAGCAGTAGCCAAAACCGTCTACATTCTGTGATTTGGTATAATTTACAAGTATGGGCATTTTGGTTTTTACATCAGTTTCCTTAATCCTAAATTCTTCATTACTGACACCAACCATGCAGAGAGGCTGTTCCTAGAACTGAGGAAGTACCTGGACAGTTAGTTCAGCCCTGTGGAAATGAGGTGGAAATTTCATTTTAATTGGCTTGCTCTTCTGGGAATTCTCAGTGATTCCTATCGTAAATTCACACCTCTGCTGAAAAAGTGAACGTGTCATATTTAGGGAAGGAGTCAACACTACTACTTAACAAAGCCGTAAGTTAATAAGGTTAAAATACACGTCAAACTGTACTTCTGCATACAAATGCTCCTCTTACCTGTGGAGCCTGGCATGGGTGTACTGCAAGAATACGCCTGTATCTCCACGACTTTGAAAAGCTCGATCCCAGCTAAACTGATAATCTGATGACAGAAGGCCACGGAAGTCCTGGAAAAATAAATTAATGTTACCTAGATATGTCTCTCCATCTCAATTTTTACCTTTACACAGAAGATGCAAACACCTTGGGAGGAAGCTCAGACTCACCTGAATTATTAGTGCCGCAAGACCAACCTTCTCTGCTGTCTCCATAGGGTCTTCTATCTCTTTGGTTGCTAAAGAGAAATGCAGCAAAAGAAATCACAAATCCATAGTAGCGTAACAACTCCCTTGCTCAGGCTTGGAGATGCCAATAAAACAGCATCTTCTAAAACTGTGAACAAGCAATACGGAAATTGTCAAGATGCATACAGCAAGAAGTCCAGGATATAAATCTTTCTTAAAAGCTGAGATACAGCTGTTTCAGATGGGCTTTTTCTCCACTTCCCCTAGTATGTGTAATGCAGATTGTAAGGTCAGAAGAATTCATTGCAACAGACTGGATAGACTACACTGAATTCCTCTTCACAATTCAGACAGCCAATGTCAGATAAGGAAGAAGATGACAGGGCAATTCAGGTCTTGTTTAAAAACTGATAAACTCCAAGTGATAAGGGGGCATAGTCAAAGACAAATCATTCCAATGGCTAATAGAGCATTCAGATGTACACTTAGGGAGTATTAACACCATCCACTGTAGAGACCTAAAATGACTATACTCAAGAGAATCTGAACTGAGAGAATCGCAGAATGGTTTGGGTTGGCTGGACCTTTAAAGATCAACCAGCCCAGCCCCTCTGCCATGGGCAGGGACACCTTCCACTAGCTCAGGTTGCTCAAAGCCCTGTCCAACCTGGCCTTGAACACTGCCAGGGAGGGGGCAGCCACAGCTTCTCTGGGCAACATGTACCAGTGTCTCACCACCTTCACAGTGAAGAATTTCTTCCTTATATCTAAACCTACTCTCTTTCAGTTTGAAACCATTGTCCCTTGTTCTCTCACTACAGGCCCTGGTAAAAAAGTCTTTCTCCGTCTTTCTTATAAGCTCCCTCTATATGATGAAAGGCTGCAGTAACATCTCCCTGGAGCCTTCTCTTCTCCAGACTGAACAATCCCAACTCTCTCAGCCTGTCCTCATAGGGAGGTGCTCCAGACCCCTGATCATTTTTGTGGCCTCCCCTGGACCAACCCGAGCAGGTCCATGTCTTCCTTGTACTGGGGGCCGCAGAGCTAGACACAGGACTCCAGGTGGGATCTCATGAGAGCAGAGTAGAGGGGAAGAATCACCTCCCTCGACCTGCTGGCCCCACTTCTCTTGATACAGCCCAGGATATGGTTGGCTTTCAGGGCTGCAAGCACACATTGCCAGCTTATGTCCAATTTTTCATCCACCAGTACCCCCAAGTCCCTCTCTGGAGGGCTGCTCTCAATCCATTCATCCCTGTCTGTACTGATACCGTGATTGCCTCAACCCATGTGCAAGACTTCATACTTGACCTTGTTGAACTTCATGAGGTTTGCATAGGCCCACTCCTTGAGCCTGTCCGGGTCCCTCTGGATGACATCCCTTCCCTCCAGTGAATCAACTGCACCGCACAGCATGGTGTCATCTGCAAACTTGCTGAGGGTGCACTCAGTCCCGCTGTCTGTGTCATGGATAAGATATCAAATAGTATTGATCCCAGTATGAACCCTTGCAGGACACCGCTTGTTACTGGTTTCCACCTTGGACATTGAACCACTGACCTATAACTTTTTGGACATGGCCATCCAGACAATTCCTATCCATATAACAGTCCATTCATTAAATCCGTATCTAGTTTAGAGGCAAGAATGTTGTGGGGGACCTATCAAGGGCTTTACACAAGAAGTCCAGGTAGATGAGATCCATAGCTCTTCCCTTGTCCACTGATGCAGTCACTCCATCATAGAAGGCCACTAGTCAGTCAGGCTTCTCCCTGGGTAGACATGACAACAACTTCTCCAAAGCTGCTCTAAATAGACTGAAGTCTATCATTACAAACCTTAATTAATCTGGAATAGTCTAAGAGAAAATATCCTCAGAACAGCTGCAGAGACATGTCTGCAAAGCTATTGCCAGCATTTTCACAACTCAATTCTTCAGGAGACAAGCAGCATGCTGTTGTGTACAGAAATTCACAGAAGGGCCTGTTTCATTCCCTGTCTTACAGGAAGTTCACAGGACCAAGCTGGTGCTCTAGTTCATCAGAAGTACAGGAAACTGTATCCAGTGTAACAGCACTTTAGATACTGGATTTTCTGAGAATTCAATTACTTGTGTTTGGATCCCCAACCTTGCCTAGTAAAAAGGTGATGCTTTTGACATACATAGCACTTTCTATTTTTAAACTCAGATCACAGTGTGCTCTACCAGGGTGTCCTCTTCCTGTTTGTCTCTACTTGGGGAGAAAGAAGGATTCTTGTCATAGTCTTTTACAAGGTAAATCTGTTCTACTTTAGCAAGTGCCAAGTGCCATTTTCAATCATGGTATATGTAATTTATTAAATTTGCAGAGTTAAGTTTATGATTTCCTGTCCCAGCTGATTTCCCACTAACAGCAGAACATGGACAATTCAGCTGTTCTCTTAAGGTACCACTTAAGCTGAAACAGTTTTGCAGTACAGTTTTAGTACACTCGGATTTCTGTCCTTTGCTTTGCTATTTCTTTGTGCCAGGTCAGCAAAGCCAACTGGGACAACTTTGAGTAGTTCATATACTCATATCTTTGCTATATACAAAATTCAGACAGAACTGAGCTTGGGGATAGTTCATAGCCCTGAGAAGTGCCAGACTGGTTATTCATTCAAAGAGACAAATATGTTTAAATTACATTATTACATGTCATAACTGAGATTTGCTTCAAAACATAACAACTGTCTCAGAATTCAGTCTTTTGTTTAGATGCTTGATAAGACAGAGAGAAAGCTATCTAAGACAAAGCAAAGCAGCAAAGGAAATATGCACTATACAGAGGATTAATGGGGACAGCAGGATTCAATGAGATGAGCAGAAAAGGATGACAATAATGGAAACTTAAATAGCAGAACTGTGTACATCTAATATCAAGGAAAGAGTCTATACAAAGGTATTTAACCAGCTCCAGCTCTGCACAGGCATGATTTTTTAAGCCAGCATTAGCTGTTAAATGCCCAACTCCCAAAACCTTTTAAATGACACTGAGGCATTTTGATACCACACACAAGTTTGTAATATCTTTCACTGTTTATCCAAACACTTTTCAAACATTGAAGACATTGCTATGAGTCAGGGATTTATGATTTCTAATTTAGGAAAGAGGAGGTAAGGCAGCAATTCAATCATAAGGAGGAAAACTTCTACAAGCATAGATAGGATTTAGGATCTAAGGGATAAGCTCTGGGTAATGGTGCACATTACTTCTTCTAGCTGTTCTGTCTACAGCTTGTGCAATGAAACACGGGTCTGCACCTCTGCTGTGTCAGTTCAATTCAGCATAAAAATAAGTTTGCTTTACACTCAGCTATGATACTAACCTTTAAACTGAAGCTCTAAGCTCCATTCCTCTCTGCTGTAAAACTGGTTTGAATTGAGGGTCATCTTTCTATCACTCTGCCTGCCCCCCTTCTCCTTGTCCACTCTACAAGCAAAATTATCTGGATTTAAAAAGTTGAGGAGGCAGAGGAAGGAAGATGCACACTACTCAACCAGATCAGTTCACTGAATCAGTTCAGCACCTAACTCCAGAAAGCACAAGTGGGGGCAGCATTTCACTGGGAACCGCTTGAATCTTTACTGCGTCAAGAGGAAATAGCTCTAGAGCCACTGCCCGAGGTGCAGGCAAACATCAACCTTCAGCAGATCCTGCTGCAGAGCAGTGACCTCCTGGGGACTCCGGAAACAGTCATGACGCTGGGAGGATGACAAGGCAGTAGTTGCAGACAAGCTACCGTCAATCTTGCCAGAGAAAACTGTTGGAGCTACAAATCCTTTGGATGAGATCTGACTGTTCCTTGAACTGCAGCCCCAATCCCACTATCGGCCAATGTGTTCCTCCATGAAAAAAGCAACTCTTATTCCCCAAAGGCAGGTACTTCCTTCCCAATGTAAAAGCATGCTAATTTCACTGAATGTTAAAATTTGCAAATCCGTAACTTAGGGAAGTTCACAGAGTTGCAAAGGATCATTTTAATGTTTATATTATGGGAGATACAAAAAGTTCACAGATCAGGGCGTATGACTGCGATTAGTCTGATGCAGGGAAAAGCAAAAGGTAGAAAAGATGAAATGGTTTTAATCAACACAGAACATCAAAAGAAATTAATAAGACCTGAAAAAGCTAACTTTTTGTGGAAGCCATGTTTTGTAACATCCTTGAGCGAACTTCATTTAAAACATCTTCCAGGAAAATTACTTCTCCTCTCCGAGTCTTCATCCCTTGAACTAGACCAAAAGACACATGCTGGCACCTGTGTTGAAAAGCAACAGGACCTAAAATTACATTTTAATCAAGAGAAATGTTTGCAGTGTTTGTTCAGAGCTGGATTCTTACCAGGAAACAGCAATAACAGCTGAATAAATAGTGCTCCAACGTGGGAAGCTTGGTGATATAATCAGTAACTCTCATTTCAGCAACCAAAGCTCCATACTTATTATATAATGGGAAAATTATGATCAGAATTATGATAACCTGGTCATTTGTGTGCTCGTGGGAACCTCTCTTACTACTAGCTTTAGTACAGAGGACTCAATGCAATAAATTGCAATAAATTGAGGAGAGGCAGGATGTAGACAGATCAAATTACTGTGGCAACACAGATCTGTTAATGAGATTAGAAAGGGAGTCATAATAATTCTATCGTGGTCACATTAAACTGAAAGTGTAATTAATCATTGCTAATAATAAAACATTCATTGCTTCTGCTCACAATAACAATATTCTAGATCCATAACCTAAGGACCATCACAGTTTCACTCTAGCTGGCAACTAAGCACCACGTGCTTAGTTCAACGTTAAGCACTGTGGAAGGAGGCAGACAAGTATTGCTGAAGGCTAAAATCCTATATTTTGCCACAAAAGACATGGAGTCTGTCAGAGAGGAATATGATTTAGTCTGCAGATCTATTACTGACCTTTGCTCAGATTGCTAAAAAGATTAATTATTACAATGAATAATAGTGGGGATACATTTCCCTGCAATAGATACTTCAAGCCTGAAGCATGATTCAAACTCAGATTCAGATTCTGCTAAAATATCATACTTCAAGATCATTTAATATGCAAACACACAGTATTACAGTAGCTCTGACATAAAGTCTCTGAAAGACTGTTTCCCTTTTTCACAGATTAAGCAGTTATGAAAGACCTGTTAAATGATAGACAGGGCTGTTTTTCACATCCTGAACACATGGCAATGTCTCCATTTGCAAATAAAGCAGACCAGCAGGAGCTGACCTATAGAATGAAAAGGCTGATGCCAAGGACCTGAGGCCCACATTCCACACAGTTCTGAGGGTTTGTTTTCTATTTTTTCCTCTTTATGGGACTAGCTTTAGTTGGGTCCTACAGGCCAAATGTGCTGCTTGTGTGCAACTAATAAACTCCAGAGTGCAAGCAGACATCTTGTAGCTCAGTTTCATCCAAAATGCCTACATGATGTGTGCTACAATATGGTGACAGCTGGACACAATCAGGAGATTTTCTTCAAAAGAGCACTCCACTGAAATTCTAACGTACATATTATCCATTTAAAAAAAAAAAGAGGTATATAATTTAGATTCATAAATACATACCTTTCTACCCAGTCATAACCCATGAGCTTCAGTATTTGGAACAAATGCTGGAAGTGATTACTTTGACTCTTATCTGTCTAAGGAACAGAATTGGTGCAAATCAGAAAACACTGCAAGTTTGGTAAGGATTAGCTTTTAACACACAAATACATAACACCACAGACACTGTGCCAGCAATGACAGCGAAGACAGGCTCTTCTTGAAAAATATAACAGCTGGAATCTATGGCAATGGCATTTTGCACCTCGTTAGAAAATCTACCTTTTCAAAAATTATTAGTCCTAGGTCATGAAGACAAAGCCATGAAGTGAAATGAAGCCTTGATGTTCTCCAGTTTCACATAATCTGTGAGCTGCCCATTGAACAAAACACCTCCATTTTAACCTCAGAACCTTGCTGCTCTTGTTATACTCCCATTTAAGGTTCCTTTGGCTTAGAAACAGAACACCTCTTTAAGCTCTCTGTCTCTAGAACCCACTGGTTTCTATTGTCTCCAGCATGATTTGTGGAGTTTTACATCGTAAGTCAGGTGCATAATTAAAAAGTATAAATGGTCACATTTTCATATTAATTATGCATCTTGTGCTCTCTTCCATTTCCAATTACTCTCTCCTGTGACTTAAAGCAGTTTCTGATGGCAGCTTATGTCTAACAATGATCTTCATATGTATTTCTAGCTACAGCTGTTGCTATGAAGTTCACTTTCCTACCCAGTTGCTTTGACTACATCACTTAAGCGTGCCTTTACCCCTCCTTAAAAAACACTGCAGTGATAACCAAATAACCACTATTTCCTTATTTGGCTGGTGTTCCAAGACAGGGAATGAGCAGTGAGTGAAGTGCTTATCTGTGTTTTTTTCTCAGCTCTACCACTGTATCAAGCCTCAGGCACCTGCCTCCTCTTTCACAGTTTCTCATAACCTGTTCTGGTCCTATGCATCACCTCTCTCTGCACCGACTCATGAGCGAGGCTAATAAATGAATAGTGGTGGTCAGCATTTCAAACAAGGCCTTCCAAGCTCTTTTCCACACATCTCACATATGAGAGAACCTCTCTGTATTTGTAACAAGGTCAGATCTCTCTTGCTAAAAGATCTCTGAATCAACTTTACGAAGTTTAGATGAAGGCCAGCTCACTGTACTGGCCAAGGCTGCCTCACTGTTTCCCCTGTTTCTCTAGGTCAGAATGTATCTCTATTCTCCTGTTTTACAAGAGATTAGACATTCCATGACAGAAACCGGTTTTGTTTTGTGTGCACAACAGCATGTCCCTCACCACCTGGACCATGATCACAGTATTTAAAAGCCTCTTTGAAGGACTGCAGTCTTGTGAATAAATACTGTGACAACTCATGACAATACTCCAACCCTTCTGAACTTAATTGCTTCTTCATGACTGTTCACCAAGCAGAATTTTCAGCTAAATCTAAAAGCCAACTTAAGTTTGTAATTACTTGTCTTAACCAATGCATATAGAAATAGCATACAAAAGAATATGAAAAATCATTGATAGAAAATATTGTAATAATAATCTATAGCTTTTTTAAATAATTCTTCAAACTCCCATGGAAACAGAAGAGGCCAAGATAAGAATACCTATAAGGCAGTACAAGCTGAATTCCAGGTTTCAGCTGGCCACCTAAAAACAAAGCATCAACTCCTGTGTTTCTGGGATGCTGTGTGATACTGCAAGAAGTTTAACAGTGAGTGTTTATTATGCTTGAACAATCCACAATTTAGATTTTCATGCAATCAAATTTGTTAAGAAAGATGGAAGTAAATACTACGAGTACCATACAACTTAATCCCTGCCTAAAAGTAGTACTCAAAACATGGGTGTGTAAGTAGGGAGAAAAGATGAACCTGCAGACACTAGCATTTCATAAAACTACTTTTTTTCATAGCTTCACAACATAGCAAAAATAACACAAATGCTCAAAAAGATGATTCGTATTATGAAGGAGTGCAATTTTTTCCTTACAGACCCCCAAATGATACAGGTCTAAATATAATCCAAGTGGTTATCTTTAAGGGAGAAGTTTACACTCTTGACACTGTGGATTATATCTATTTCTTCACATATAAAGGCATTTTCATCTCCTGTTTTGAGTGAAATATTCAACAGAATCTTAGTACCTCTTTCATAATACGTCACATTTTAAAATGTCTTAAAATATCACTGCATTAAGTAGGATTTTCTTAAAATGTAAATTGGTGAATGCACTGATTTACAGCATTACAACTAATTAACCAACTCAATGTTATTTTAAATAAGTTGATATGATGAAAATAAGATGATCTTAGGAAGACTCAAAAGCCTCTAAATAATTTTCTTGTAAAGATCAGGATTCTGAAATACATTCGTGTTTACATAATTAAAGGCTAAAATCAGTGTTCTCAATTAAATCCAGTAAGTTCTTCAGCCTCTGCTAACACTGAGTAAAATCCTAACCCACTACTGTCCTGCCACAAAACAGCAGCAAAGCTCAGCAAGGCTGGCAGCTCCCTCATCAGGCCAACTGTCCCGCAAACTCTCCTAACAGTTCATGTTATCGCCCTCTGATTTTATGACCCACTTTTTCAGTCCTCAGAAAGTCAGAAGTGATAAAAATACTAACCATGTCATCCAAAAACTTTGCAAACTTAGCAAGGTTGAGAGAATAGGACTAGACAGGCTAATCATTTGATTATAACAGACACACTGATGGCATCACAGTCCGGTTCTGATGTGTATCTGTTTGGACTAGATCAGAGGCGCAGGCAAGGAAGAAAACAGTTAACTGAAGTTCAGCTCTGAGCAGCCAGTCAGCTCAAGACTATTGCTTATGCACTTCCTTGCTCCATGAGCTTAATATGCAGCCCATACCCTAATCTGTGCAAAATAACCACTCAACAATTTTCTTTCTAATTGTTCCTTCTCCCTTGGTCCCTACTACCTCATGGCGTAAGAAATACAAATAATTACCTACCCACATGAACTAGACAGGAAACTTGGTAACTCCCAATGCATTGCACTTTCACAGCCACACTGCATTTTGATTCCAGTGAACTTACTACGTTCCAGGCAGCTGAGGCAAAAAAAATCCCACCAAAACCAAGCCTTTCCTCCCCAAAAAACCACAACTAAAAAATCCCTGTTCTATGACCATATGTGGGAATCGCAAGTTACTGGAAACTTCCTGAAGAAAAATGAAAGGAGGAATGTAACTAAAAGTCACACTTTAAGATATCTGTGTATTTAATTTTATGTTTATTGATCTCTCCCCCTCCACTGAATCATGGTATTTGTAACATTATACCAACTTTTGAAAAAGCTATACCAGAGGAGCCAGATGGGCATTGCCAAACACATCACAAACAAACAACATGCAGATTTTTTCCATGTGTTATTAACTGACTTTACATGAAAGAACAGAGTTTTCAAAATATTTTTTTTCTAAAGCTGAAAAAAAGATTTAAAAGTATCATGTGATAAGTCCTTGGTAATACTAGAGCAAAAAGAGTTTCACACAAGTGAAATAATCCTGCTATTCATTACTGATACTGTTGCAATTGTTAAAAAGCAAAAAGCCAAAACAAGAAATGTAAAAAGATTCCCTGTCTACAACTGCTTCATCCAGATTGATTAAGCAGTACTTTATGTGCAATTTCTACATAATGAAACTGGGGCACTGTTCAAAGGCATAAAAATTTACATTTCAGATAAGGTATCAGGACTTTAGAGTAGACTTACGATTCATTTTTAGACTATTAATTTCTAAATTTATACTTTACAACCATTTATAACGCTAACATCTTTTTCTGATTTGTATAAATATTAATTACAACATTTATACAGAAAATACAATGTCAATTGAGTAAAGTTCCTTTAAAATGAATTGCGATGAATTTTTATAGCAAAGAATAACTCCAGAGCTGATTTTTCAACCATTCTGAAACAGAACCATGTAACACTGCCACATTGAGGCACAGCTGGTGGGCAGTAAGGGCATTTGTTTTACTGCCAAAACCACCAAGTCATATTGTGAGCAACAGGCTGGCTCCGGGATTACTGGACAGAGTCAGGGTCAAAAATATTTGGTAAATCTAGAATTACTTACCACGTAAATCATAGTATCACAATTATGCTTATTCATTCGGTCTATAGCAGCAGCAAGATCTCTGAAAGACATAATGAGAAACTGTTTCACTCAAACATACCTCATTATTTGCCTCTTAGGAAAACAACCTGCTCTTACAGAAGGGAGAGGACTGCCCAATTAGAGGGATCCATGTATGCCTTACACAAAAAAGAAGACACGTATACTTTGTTCACTATGTGTTTGAAATGCTTTTTTAAACCACTAGCTACAAAAATTGCTGAAGAAACAGTTCTTACGCACAAAGTCTAGTCTCTGTCTGCCTACTGAGACAATCAGTCAGCTGGGACTCAAGAGAAACAACTCTCTCCTGGAGAACTAAGCCAGTCTCACCATAAGGTTGTATGATAAACAGCTCATCTTCGCACACACAAAGTAGTACAGAGAAACAACTCCCAGGGCTGTCACAGGAGAGCCATCAGCTCCATGTCCCAGTCTAAAACTCACCTCAGGAGTCACCAGGAGCAGCTCTCCAGACCACCTCCACACTGAGGGAGATTACTGCCTAAGGGACACGGGAAACATGGGATGCAAGGGAAAAGCATTTTGTAATTGCACAAGACTTCCTATGGGATGCTTAGGGGAGGAACCAAAGATGGGAAAAGAGAGGGAGATGATAAAAGGGACAGGAGGTTCGTAAACTGATTGCTTATTAGTATTTTTGTCCAGATGTGCCCTGCACCTGATCAGCAGTCTGTACTGTCCTCTCATTAAGCTCCATTTCAAGTTTTTCCTGGGTGAGGGGGTGTCTCTCTTCTGTGTGCATGTGTGTTTGGAGGTCTAAGTAACTGGAGGTGGGGAGTACAGCTCATATAGGCCATGCATCTGTGGTTCCAGAAAATGAATTGACTGGAGGTAAGTGAAATCAATTGATAGTAACTGGAGTCTGACCATGGGTCACAGGGGCGAAGGTGTCCCTGCTGCCAACAACTGGAATGAAGGCACACACATCCACATGTGATTGACAGCAAAATATCAAGATGAACTAGCCAGCAAGTAGGTGAAGTGCCCTGGGAGCCAGGTAAGTGTGTGCCTTCAAAGATGAGGCACCTCAAAGAGTCTGTAGTGTTGGCATGTTGGCATCAGGGGGACCAAGCCAACTGCCAGACAGACCATGGGGCCTGGGGGCTGACTGAGACCTACCTGTGTACATGTGTGTGTCTGTGTAGGAGGCAACAGGGAGAGGGAGGATCCAGGGCCAGCTGCTGGTCTGCTGGAGGGATCCACTGTGTCTGTACCAGCAACTGGAGAGGGGCTGTGGGCCTTGGGGGCTCACACATCCAGGGGACAGGAACTGGGGAGACCTGGGGATCCAGGGTCCAGCTAACAGGCAGACTGAGTGTTGAAGCTCAGCTACTGGGGGATTCACATTATGCATACATACTCTGTACGTACACTACGTATCTGTATTAGTTATGTAAATAACACATATCACATACATAGGTATATATATATATACACACACACATATATATATACACATACATACACACACACACACACACACATACATGTGTATTTCTTCACACTAGTAGATCTTCATCCTAATCAGAGGGGAACAAAATGAGGCCATCTGTGCTGTCCAAATGACAGGTGGTTTTGTCTGTTTTGCCCTGTTTGGTTCGCTCTGTGTATAGATACATGTGTGTGTGTTTGTGTGCCTACTGTGAAGAGGTGCTCAGCCTCACTACTGGCTGGACCTACAGGCATGGAGCTGTGGCAGCCTTGCCTCTATCTGGCTACAGGATTCAGAAGCTCCCTAATGTGCAGGATTGACTGAAGCCAATACTCTTGTCCTGAAAAGCTGCACACAGTTTACCCTGAGGGCTAGGTATCTCATTTATTTACATTACACAAAGAAACTGCTAAGGCTTCCATATTAAAATACCCAAGAGGAATTTTAGAATACTGATGAGAAGGCAGGAAACAGTGAAAAATTGATAGTACAGTGCTGGTGGTCCACTAAATCAATGAAGACATGGCTGAAAAAGCCACTTTTTCCTTCATCACACTGTCAATAAATGTTATAAGCAAAGGTCTTTCTAAACCTGCATTATTTGGTGTTTATCAGATTAAGAAATTCCAGCTTTTCTAGCTGGAGAAAGCACAATGATTTATGGAAAGAGGAGATTTACTAACATACTACTTAAGAGGAAGAAGAGTATTTAAAAAGTTATTTTTCCTGAGCCATTTTTATCTCATCATAGTTACATTGCTAGTTCCAGTTACAATTACTCATTGGTCAAAGTGTTCCATCCTAGAAATTAAAAGCTTCAAAATCTGTGCTATCAGTTACAAATGTACTCATGTACAAAAGTCCACTGGCAAAATAAATGGCAATTAACACAGATGGGCTTACTTGCCTTGTTATATAAAGAGATGTCCCATCACTACGCATGACAGTGGAAAACGATGAGAGGTCTTTCTTTTCTGAAAGATCCACAATTCCTGTCCCTTTTCTATGAGTTGAGAGAAAACACTGAAGTAACTGCAAGTCAGATGCAATATACAGGCAAATTCAGAACCAAAACAAAGGCCTCTTGCCATGGAATGCCCCCTCCCTCCAGACAATCTCCTTCTTTTCTTTGAATGACTGTCTCCTTTAAGTCTTTTTGAAGACTGTTTGTTGAATGTTTGTCACCAGTTTGTTGTCACCACTGCTGATGCCAGGGAGCCACCTGCCCATATTCTGGTACATTCCACAAGTACAGCTTCCGTCCCAGTTCAGCCAGGCAGCTCCTTCATCAAGGCAAGGATCTCATCTAACTCTGCTCATTAAATAGCACATGCAGCTACCAAACTAATTAACAGCCTAAAAGGCCATTAGGAGTCATTGTCATTGTACCTAATTTGTCATGGCCAGACTTCTGTGCTAGCCACAGAAAAGGTAAACTCGATTTTTAGCTGTACCCACACAAATCCTGTTGGTCTTCTACTAGAGCTGCTACCAAAACCATCTAAAGAAAACTCTTCCCCTTAGACTGTGTACAAACCTCATTCATTGTAATTCATTTGAAATGCAACTGAGATGTTAAGTAAACTACACTAATAGATTGAATAATGAGTTCATACATTGTTTTCTGAAGGAGTCCTTTATTCTCCAACATCTTTAGAACTTCCTTGGACTTCTCTTGGTAAAATGATTCTCCAGAATATTCATCAAAGTGCACTCCTAGACGCTGGAAAGTTCCAAGAATATCAAAGAAGGGTAACATGGTTAAGACTGAGGCTAATAATTTCTTCAAATTAAGTCAGATGATACAACTGTGTCACAGGTCAGAGTGCAAAGATAATTTTATTTCAGGAAATGTCACTTCACTGTTAAAAGGAATAGATGTTTGGATTTTGATTTAATCAATTTCTGCATTAGAATTAGTCTGAGTTGAATACAGTGTTGGATATAATGTTCATGAGAAACTAGGCATCAACAGGATAGATCAAGTGGTACAAAAATTCTGAGGAAGGTCTCTAACTTGCTGTGCTATAGGCAAAACCAGTGGACTGCAGAGAAGTTACCTGGACATAAACCCAATCCTATTTCAAAAAGATGCTAAAAGAAATTTTAAGAAGCAGGAATTGCTCACAAACACTGCTGAACATACAGAAATTACCATCACTAGGAAAGATGAGGGTAAACCTAGGAGAGCTAGGATGACCTTAACAGTCAAAACTGGGTGAAATGTTAGTAGTACAAAAGACAAGGTTTCTAACTGAGGGCAACAAAGCTCCCTGTCCATCAGCTCAATACTTATTAGTTTCAATGGAATTGGGAAAGATCACCAGTCATCATGCGATCAGTCATGAGTGACCATCATCATGCGATCAGTCATGAGTGACCATCATAATGCAGCTGCATACACAGGCCAATATCCACTTACCCTAACAGGTCAACTTTCCACTAGAATTATCAAGGCTATGTCTCACTTAGGAGATCATAACTTAAAGAGTATTTGGCATGAATCCAGTGATACGTTTCAGAGAAGAAATTAAAGCACCACCAGTTTATCTGCATTACTGAGGAAGGAGCAGGCCACTCTCTTTTAACTTTGCAATCAAAGATGAAAGAAGACATGACCAATTTCTACAAATACATCAAGAGGAAGGAGATGGAAAAATACAATTTTAAGAAAAGAATAATACTAGAAGAAGGAGGTGGTATATAATGACTCACAAATTCTTTGGAGCTGCAAGTCATAAAAAAATATCTAAGCCCATCAAAACTGTGCACCAATTCCAGAATTTCATTGCAAGAATGCAGAAAAGAAAAACACTAGCTGTTTTTCAGATGGACTCAGTTGGTTCTTGAGTAAGATTACATTATATTAATACGAAGAGACTGGATTCAATGACAGAAGGTGTATCTCACTCATGTTTCCCAAATTAATAAAATTCATTTTGTGGTCAGTGGCACAAACACCTCCCATGAAACAGTGGATGCTGCCTCCATTCTTGAGATAACAGTATGCAGCACATGGCTGTATATTCGCCCAACTGAACCTGCAGGTAACTTATCCACTGATTACTTCTGTAAACTCCTGCTGCTGTAATTTCTTACACTCGATTTAATATACAACATACACAGCTCTGCATTATAACATTAGATCAGAAATGTGAAAACAGAATTATCTCCTAATAAAGTTTATTACATGGAAACTGTTAAATTTAATGGGTTGGTGCCAACTTCAAAGATAAAGCAAAACTGAACAGTATTTATCTAACACTGATTTGCTTTGTTGCTTAGCACCATACCCCTAGCTTCGGGGCTTCTGGGAAGGGAAAATTAGTCTAAGAGCCAATTACATGGATTCCATTAAATAAAACGTGTCTAGGGTGTCAGCAACTAAAGTGATGGTCTGCTTGGATGTTAAATCAACTACTGTGCTTTTTTCCAAACAGAACAGGGCATTACCTGGCATATTGAGAAACATCTTCCCAACACTGTGAAGTTTACTGGAAAGGCAACAAACTGAGAACAATACAGCAACCTCTGTTCCTAAGTTAGTTCCCTCTTGGCAGTCTCTTGGATGAAAAGATGCTGTGCATTGTCAATTAGACTAATGGAGCAATAGACAAAAAAGAGACCATTTTACCAACAACACAGAAAAAGCCGTGGATTATTTGTACCTTATAAATTCGGATGTATTCGTCAATACTGAAGTCTCTAAATTGTTTCCAAAGTGACAATGTCTGTTCATCATGTTCCTCCAGTTTTCTAAAGAAATCCTTAGCCAGCTTTTTTGTGTTTTCATCTTCAGCTGCTTTGTTAATCTGCACATACACCTAAAATAAAATGGCACTGAAAATGTTGAAGTATAACCCTCTCCTCCAATAAAAATAAGCAATCTTCTACAAGAACAATACAAATACATTTAAAGATGACATTTGTTATGTCAAAATTTTAAAGATGTGTTAAATGAACACATTTCCTATTTAAAGGATGAATGAGTACTCCAAACTCCAACAAAAAAATTTGCAGCTTATCTTGAAACAAGACTAATGCCATAATTCCTTACTGCTATCACTATTGTCCTCTTCATAACCTTGCAACAACTGCCACAGCAGAATGTGGAAGTACTAATTCATGCATGAGAGGGAAACCATCAGAGACTTTTAAAGCAGAGACTTTTCTTCAGAGGACCACAAAGTTGATACTTAAAACTGCACTGCCTAAAACAGATGGCAGTTGAAGCAGCAAAATCCTAGGGACTCGATGTTTTACAAGCCCCAAAAACCCCAACCCCAGTTCTGATCCCAAACCCCTTACTTACAGTACTCTGCAGCCACACTAATACACACTCTCTGTGGCTGAAGTCAAGCATATGAATGTCAACATCCAACTAGACACATACACGTGCACTGTTAGTTTACTGAAAGAATTACAAACATTTGTATTAGCCAACTTTACCTAATGTACAGCAAATTTGGCTCTCCTGTTCTTTTAACATATTCCTTTATACCTAAAGGCCAAATATTCGCCCAGGCAATGACTCCTTGCTTTATACACATAGCATCATGAAAACCCGTGGAAGAGTTTTTAAAAAGTTAAAGTACTATGTAAAAATAATTAAATGAACTAGTGGTTAGATGACATATTTAGACCCAAATAGTTGAATGATGTCTAACTTTTAAGTCCTTGTAATAGTTCTCAATCCCTAAATCATTGCAATCTTGATAAAAAATAAATAAAAACTTCACTCTTGGAATGTTCAGAGAAAGAGTTTGCCAACAATATCTTGCTTGAATGGGTTCTGCCTATTAAAAAGAAAAAAAAAGCTTCCACAGCAAAACTCTTGAACTTTTCCCCTTCCTTTTATGTCCCAAGATTTTTAGAGGTTTTAACAGGCAGTACTGCTAACAAGCCTCAAAGATTAATGTTTGTTTAGTTCTGCCACAAAACCGAAATTTAAAGTAAAGGGAAAATTCAAGCCTTTCCAGGAATAATGCTCCCTCCTCCCCAACCCGTAGCTTCACACATTCTAAACCACACCCCCCCCTCTAATCTTTGATGTTATAAAGCAAAAATAAAGCAAAAGGCATACTTGCATCTGTCTCTTGACCAAAACAGAGGGTGTAAAGATATCTGGAAAGGTACATTTGCATATATAATATATATTATTTACATAGAAACTGCACTATGGAAATTTTCTTTTTAAATGAACTATAGGAAAGATTAGTTTCATACAACAGCAGAAAAAAACACCACTTTGAAGCATGTCTCAGTGTTTTATATAAACCAGGAATATGGCTGAACAAATACTTAAAAATTGGGAGTATCTGAGAAACGAATTTAGTCTCAAACAGCTACTGTTTTAGAACCTTCTGCAGCTTGACTGAATACCTTTCTCTACACTTGAAGGTGACTTTTTTAATGCATAAAGCCTACATGCTACTGCAGTAGATGGTATTTTAAAGCTTTTGTGCAAAATTCAAGTATTCAAAACTTAAAACCTAAGAACAGACTGAAATTATAAATAAGAATTAAATAATATGCAGCAATGCATAACCACAAGAATATAACTACTTCTCGTCATCTCTTTAAAACAGTCCTACAGCTCTAAAACACCTCCATGTTGAGAATCTATCAATTGTATTGAGCAGGCCTCAGGGATGAGGGAACAAGTGAACAAAACTTACCTATGTCAAAGAAACTGGCAAACTCAGAAGGAGCTACTCTGCGACATAAACAATCTGCCTAATATGTATTCAGCTGTAGAGCATCCAAGTATTCAAAGACAGTTTGCTCCTTTGCCAGTGAACAGATTCATGTTATCCTGTGACAGGCTGTCTGAACACTGGCATTAGCAACAGTTCCCATATCCAGCTCAGAAGGTGAAGCACAGCTCAACTTTGTAATAAGAGAACACTTGACAGTGCCACACAAGAACCCTGACAAAGCCCCATAAACATGTGAGATTTTTCTTTTAAATGGTGAGGGCTTGAACATTAGTCATTCAGAAAATTTTGTCTGCCTGTCCTCAAGGATGTTGGATTTGTGTGGGTAAGTACATAAACCATCTTATGTACAGCATGGTTGTCAACCAAAGATCCCTTACAAGTATCAAAAGATTGAAGAAAATCTTTTTTGCTCATTGCATTGTATGAAACAAGAAGTGACACACAAACTGGTAGAAGAAGAAATAAATACTAACTCAGATGTTATTAGGCATATTTGGATGGAGCAAAACAACCACTGAAACCGTGTTAGTCCTGGAAAAACAAGACTTGTTAAACTACCTCAACTGTTATGGCTAACCTGAAGGGTCCACTAAGTCAGTTTTGTCCCTGACACACAGAAATACAATCTGTAGCACTTGCACCATGCTGCTGGGCATGGTGGGCAACCGAGAGGGCAACCTCCTGCAATGAAACAGCCTTCCCTACTGTTGAAAGGCATTTCCTGAATGCCTGTCAGCAGAAACGGCACCTTCTAATGCTCCTGGGTCTTTCATGCTCTTGGAAGCAAGAAGAGCATTCTGCAGAGCCAGAAGAGTATTCTGGAAAGTGACCGTCACTCCTCCTTACCTGTATATGCTAAGCTTCCATATTAGATACAAACCACTTTAAAGATCCTTTTCCCCAACAACAGTGATCTGTGTATGGAGTAATGTAAATGAAATACTACTTATTCTAAAAATACTCACAACAAAAGGATTTTTACACCATACATGCCACTTTTTTTCACAGCTTTGGTAACCAACATAACTACAGCATTAGACGCAAGACACCATTTCCATTGCAGTTACCACAGTGAGATCAGTGGTCGCCTATGCCCAGTTAAGATAGTTGATACTGGCCAAGCTGGCTGTGATGGTACCAGCAGTCACAGCATCCACATGGTTACCTCCATTATGAGGCATATTTTTCAGCCTAATGAAACCTACCTCTCCTGCCATGGCCTGGTAAAAAATGTCCCTGCTGCTGTGGCCCAGGTCAGCACTGGTCCTTCAAGCAAGGTCATTTAAATCCAATATGAGTCTCACCATGATCCTGCAGACATACCATTCTGTACAAAATTGACAGCTAAGTTAAAGGGACTGTCCTCTGAAGTCCCTCATTGGTCCTATCTGAACTTACCTCAAAAAGGTGTTGTAAAGGACTGGTTTTTAGCTTTTCTTTGTTGCCGAAGAGTTGGAAACCAACACCCAATAAACCTTGAATAACAATTAAATACAGAGTTAGACAACAGTGTATTTGTCTGTTGTTTTCATAAGCAAGTCTATTCTTAACATTGTATGCAATAAAAGAAATGTCTTACATTTTTAAACAATATAATGGTGTATGCTACAATAACAAATCAAACATTATTCCACTGCATGAAAAAAAAAACAACTATAATAGCTAGAAACTAGTAAGAAATACTATGTCGATTTTTTAATTCCCCATAAATGGAATTTGTGTTCCTGGACTTGTAAAGAAAATTTATCTTTTACGCAGCAACCAGCTGTAAATGAGAAGCCACACAGTGGAAACTGTCCAGTAATAGAACATGCCCAAAACTCGTTTTGCTTCCTCCCATAACAGTATTTTACCATTTTGAAGACAATAGAAACTGGGACACAATATGGTATTCCACATACCACTCATGCAATATTTTTGCTGCTTGCTGAGAATATGAAGCTTTTTTCATGTACCCAATTTGGCTTCAGCACTTTTAGAAAGCCATCAGAAAGGGCAAGACCCAAATACCAATCTTTTTGTCTAAATCAAAGAGCTCATTAAGTCATTCAGTAAGCTAGCATCATTAACCCTGCAGCCTCTTAGATATTCTAAGGCTGCTTTTAAGGCCATCTCATTCTTCTGAGTGACAAGGACCGGGACTGATGGGAAGACAGCATTTGAGGAACAGGTATGCAGTATCCCTTTGAAAAGATCTCTGCAACTAAACAGATAGCACTGTCTCAAGAACTATCCTCTTGGAAACACTGAGTGCGACAGAAGCCATGGCAGATTTAGGTAAGAAAATCAAGTTAGGGTTTAGGAAATAAAATTAGCCTACTTCTATTTAAAGTGAGTTTCTTTAAGGACAGCTTGTTTATAAGCAATCAGAGTTTCATTTCCTAATGATTTCTCTGAGATATTACTGTACCTACACATTCCACTTTTCAATGCTGGCTTCACACTCCAACCCCCAGCAAGACTGCCAGTTTTTATTCAACTCAAACACATCCTTCCACACATTTCTGTCTTCCCCAAACTATCCCCAGCCCTTGTTATATTCACTAACTATTGGCAAGATGTAGCATGTGCTGGGACTGATTCCGACTTAGATGTGCTGACTGGTTAGCCGGCAGGCTAAACACAGAAGTTAACTTTCTCTCCCAGAGGGCACTGCATTGTATTTCTATCCCTACTCAGCTGCCAACTGTCAAAATACCAAAGAAATTTGTTCTCTTGGAGACATTTTTCTTTGTCAGATCTGGCTGAAGTTGGCCATTCTGTTCAAAATTTAATAGGAACAGAGTGACAGGAAGACAGATGGACAGACTGTGTGACTGCATAAGCTTTGTTACCTTAAGAAACCTGTCCCAAAACTGCCTAGAGTTGAGGACTTCTCTGGCATGTTTTAGCAAAATATGTTTTCAGTTACTACGTTTTCAAGCCTCTGACAACAGCAGCTATAATAGAAATGCTGGCAGATTGTTAATTATAGCACTGCTTCTGGGAAAGGACCATTACAATAATATTCCTATGCTATAATTTTGTGAGGCATGACTATATTATATGCTATAAAACCTGTCATATATTTCAGCTGAGCCAGCCCAAATAAAGAGGGAAGCACCCATTTTTAAAGAAACAGTTGGACCTACTAGTCAAAATGATTGAACAGTGATTCTAACAGTTGTGTACTAGATAACAGGTTCACATGCAAATAACAGGCATTGTGATCTTTATACCTTCAGGAAACTTATATATTAAAATACATTAAATTCCTGATATTCAAACTTAGGAGTACAATTTAGTATCTTCAAAGACAGAGTGAACGAGGTCAGCTGAGAAGCCCTTTAACCACATTGCATTTCATTGCTTAATTGTCATTGCCACATTCATTATACAATAGCATAGTGATAAAATTATGTCTAAGGGGCAAAAATGAAAGAAATATGCAATGATGAAATTTACTGAATTTTAGGTGAACTCATTCTGTATTCAATTCATGTGAAACAAATCCTAAGTGAAGCAACGCTCTGCTATAAATTACTGTTTGATCAGAAACAGGATGAGGAAATATGAGCTGCAGAGGAAATAATTTAACAAAGGAAAGAAATACTCTATTACTGCTCTCACAGTCACAAGAATATTTTACTCAACTGACTAAAACCCAGGAATTTAAAAAGAGAATAGGTAGAACTGAATATATTTTAGTTATGTTATCTACACTGCTGAATATGAATACATAAATAGAGTAGAAGTAGGGTATTTATGCTAAGTTTTTAACCCAGGTCTGTTCATAAAGTTGATTCATTGATATCCCCATTAAACAGCAAAACTGGAAGGGGAAGCAGAAGGGCTGGAATGAGCAAAAGTGACTGCTTAATAAACACTGCACTTTGTATTTGCCATGTGAAAATAAATATACGGACACTGTTTTCAGAACCTACTGAAAAAGACTGGGAGGAGTTTTATAGTTTTCACAGGTGTATCAGTGTTCAAGAACAAGGAAGTGGGCATGATTGCCTTTTTTTAAATGCCTAAAAATATGTCAAAAACAGCTTTTGCAGGGAAATTGTAAGAGAGGAGAATATGAATCAAATTAAAATGCACGATTAACAACAGAAAGCAACAAAGTTGTTAATCCTATGGATGGGTCAACTGCTGTTTAAGAGGATATTTACAGATCCAACAATCAGACTTACATGATCTCTAGTCAGGGAATAAGTATCAAACAATGCTAGGCTGCACATAAGAGGAGTTTTCAGTCCTCACTTATTTGATGGACATTTCAGAAGAGGTAGGAGTGTGTATGTGTGTGCATGCAAACACAGGCATGCAAGTTGATAGCCTTCTAGGGCCTATTCACTTGCACATTCTCCACCTACTTGCCTCTCTCGTGCTACATTTTAAAGGGAAACTAAATATTTTGGGGGAAGTGTTAGGATATCTTTAAAGATACAAACTCTCCGGGCCTCAACCTGCTAAAAAGCAGTTGCTGTGGAAGTTAATTATGTTCTATGAATAATGAACTAGTTTCCAGAGGAAAAAAAAAACAAAACAAAAAAACAAAAAAAACCCCCACACAAACAAAACAAGCACACACAAAGACCACCAAATATAAAATACACATTTTGTTACAATTATTCTATTACTGTGTGTACAGGTGTGGCATAGGTAAGTTAGCAAGCTTCCTCTTCCACAACAGTTACACATGCAAAATTTAAGACGACAGTATTGCAGTAGACATGCAACACCTATGGTAATATGGACGCATTTTGTCTGGAGACAGCAAGTTCAGCTGTGAGAGCTCCAAAGGTATAGCCAGCACACTCAGAAAATATTTCCACTGCCTTTTAATAATAAACCCCAAATTACACATACATAATCTGAGAGAGGAGCTACTGAGGTACAGAAGGACTGTCAGGTAAATTCCCTCCTGTTATTTCTTGTCCGGTAGTATAGGTCATACTGCTAATGAATCAGTCTGGACTGTCTTGTTCATATTTTAAGGAAATTAAATGCACATTACATACATGGAACACAATACTAATCTTTATGAGCCCAGAGTGAAACCAATGGGCCTGCAAAAACTGAAGCTGGAAACTGAGTCCATATTGTACAGTAGAAAAGGGACTAAGAGACACAAATATTAAAACATACCAAACTGCATGCCCCAGTCACCAAGATAATTCATTCTTATTACTTCATGTCCCAGTGCAACTTTGAGATTTGCTATAAAATTCCCTGATAAAGAAACAAAATTGGTATTATTATTCAATTGTAAGTAGTCTCTCATCCCAACAAAAGAATTTTCAGGTTTTGCATAATCTATATTCAAACTGAAGAGGAAAAGCAATCAGATAAACTATTCCAAACAATTTGCTAAAACACTTCACAACTAAAAGCAACAGTATTCTGAGCAGGAAAAGAGAGGCTGTGCATTTGAAAGGTGCCATAAGGTGTCTCTCATAGCACAGTGATAAAAGCATACACGTGTATATGCATGCACATACTGCAAAGTCTGTGAACATGAAAAAGTCTTTTAAAAGTGTTTTTGTATTCTCACAAATATGTGGCAGTATACATCATTGCCATTGCAGTCAGGCAGCCTCACACCAGGAGGTTAAACAAGTACTCAAAATTCACAAACTGCTGTTAACTGTGATGTTAAATAGAAAACATCAACTCCTGAATATCTCTATACTGCTGGAACAGCACTGAGCTCTGCCACTTAACACACTGTGTGTCTGATAATGCTCCAAACTTACAGAATCACATAAGGACATTTTGGTTCTGTTATTACAAAAAAACCCTTCATCTTTCTCCTGAGCTTAGATGCAACCATAGAATTACAAAGAGGAAGAAATACCCCCATCACTTTCCTGTCCTTCATGGGCACCTTTTAATTACAATACTGATGTAAAAGAATGCAGAAAGCTTTCTCTTCTTCTGTTATTATAATACCATACTACAGCTTGCAATTCCATTTTCTGTAGCCAATTCATCCTCTTACTTTTGGTCAACCATTGATCACTGAACTATTTTTCATAGTGTTTTTTTTCTATAGCAAAGGGTCCAGAAATGGAACGTAAAGAGCCTAAAATATTCAATTTCACTCAACTATCAGTCCATGAGGAGGCAGAATTATTAACTTTATGTAATTAATAATTATACATGATTCACTAAATATCATTTAAAACTAATATATTATTAGCTGCACAGATGCTGTAGGATCTTCTGCTAACAACCTACTAGTTTTTATTGTGAGAGGGAAAGGAGGGAGAAATAATGTTTTTCATATGCCATTAGAGTACTGCACAATAAACTTATTAATTATTCCATTACAAATTACAGCAACTGTGTTAGTAATACTGGCATAAATTAATTAACATATAAAAGCAAGTTTTTTGCAAGACAGCCACCAAGATGTAACTATCTGACTGCTCTGCCATCGAGTGCAAATTGGAAATTTAAAATTCAAAGGAGACTCACAGCACCTCAATGAAAACTGCCCTGGGTGTCTTTGTAGAACAAATTTAAACTACTTCACTTAATGTTCAGAGTCATAAAACTATATTACGTGTGACTTAATAAATCTGCCAGCAACACACCACTCTCTTTTCTTCACTGCATAATGAGCCAAAGGTTTTTAATTAGCAAGTCCAGCCTGACACAGCCGCTCCACTAGAAGTGTGAAAGGTTAGCAGTGTTCCCCTGTCAAGTGAAACGGGAAGACAAAGAAGCGCTTTTAGGAGGCAGTTAAATGCATACTTACCTACTATTGTGGAACGCAAATGTCCTATGTGAAACTTTTTGGCAATATTAGGGGAGCTGTAACAAATTTTCACAAATAATGTTTGTTTAATGTACAAGACTGCCAGATCACCAAGTCAAAAGAATTCAACTCATGCATATAGCAAAACTGGAATAAAACCAGCACTTTCAATTTTCCCTTCAAATTCCCTGATTAACTTCTGTTCTAGACAGCAATTTTTTTTTTATCCAACCAGCTTTTCAAAGCCACAAACAACCCCACAACAAAGAATCCCCCAAAACTCAACTATACTAGTGACAAAAGACTTGCACTAACTTATAATAGAATCATAGAATAGTTTGGCTTGGAAGAGACCTTAAGGATCATCCAGTCCAACCCTCCTGCCATGGGCAGGGACACCTTCCACTAGACCAAGCTGCTCAAAGCCCCATCCAACCTGGCCTTGAACACTGCCAGGGAAGGGGCAGCCACAGCTTCTCTGGGCAGCCTGTTCCCAGTTGTCTCACCAACCACACAAGTGAAAATTTCTTCCTTATATCTAACCTAAATCTACCCTCTTTCAGTTTAAAACCATTACCCCCTCCTCCTATCACTGCACTCCCTGAAAAGAGTCCCTCCCCATCTTTCCTGTAGCCCCCTTTAAGTACTGGAAAGCCACTATAAGGTCTCCCCAGAGCCTTCTCTTCTCCAGGCTGAACAACCCCAATTCTCTCAGCCTGTCCTCAAAGGGGAGATGCTCCAGCCCCCTGATCATCTTTGTGGCCTCCTCTGGACCTGCTCAAACAGGTCCATGTCCTTCTTATGTTGGGGGCCCCAGAGCTGGGCACAGTACTGCAGGTGGGGTCTCATGAGACTGGAGTAGAGGGGGAGAATCACCTCTTGCACCTGATGACTACACTTCTTTTGATGCAGCCCAGGATATTTTCCCACTTTTTACATGTTTTGTACATACAGATCATTGTCCTCATATATTTATTAGAGATAAATCTGATACCAGGACAGGGGACCTTGTGTACAAAAGTCAGTAATTAAATCACATCTTCTACCAGCAATGGCCCTGCCCCCCTCAAAATCCTGTACCCACAATTGTTTGCCCTGATAACAAAATGGAAGTTCAGCTATGAAATTCAGCTTCTGAATTACTTCCCGTGACTAGAGAAGCCTGCAGAGAGGTTATAAGTGAACAAAGATATTTATACATAAAGAGATCCGAGTCAGCCACTTTTCATTCCATGGGCAGGTGACCGTAAACACAATAGCACTGGACAGAAATTCTGGAGCCAGCAACTGAAATTTAACATGACAAATGCCCGGCTGGTTTAGCAAGTCAGGGATGAAGGTATTAAGGTGAAAAAAAATAACGGGTTACTGGCTGAAAATTCAAATGATGTCTCTTGATAATAAAATAAAAGAAGTCTACTTAAAAACTGAATGCTATTATGCATTAAATGAGAATATTTTTAGTGGACAGCAGTGTGAGGCATGAACTCTTTAAATGTCAAAAATGTATTCTGGGAGAAAGCCTCAATTCCCTAAATATAATTTATATTCTACTTGGCAAATATATAAGAGTATCAAATATGGTTGAATACAACACCCTGAATATGGTTTAATTTCACAGGCATCATACATTATAGCAGTGAATATCAATCAGAAAAATATCAATCAGCAGACAAGTCAATTTTTTCAAAGGACTTATTACATGTGCTTACCTGAACTCAATCACTGCCTTTTGTTTAGGCACTGTAGAGAAAAGTTCACTTTTTACTCCATACTCTGAGCCATCTTTCAACACCTGCTGCAACACAGTCTAAACCACAAGATGATTAAAAAAAAGCATGATCAGGAAAACTGTCCATCTATCACCGATCCCACAGCCTTTACTCACACTAGCAATTAGATGGCTGGTCTGCCAAGCAAACAAGATCCCATATGCGGGTGAAAATGCCATTAGCTTTTGAAAGCTGTATTTCATCAATTCAAAAAGTTAGAGAAAACACAGTCAGAGTTTTGGTGAAAATCAAGGCTGAATTTGTGACAACTTAAAATGAAGTGGAAAATCTAGTTTTCACTAAAATTATTGTATAGTTACATAAAATAAAAAGGCAAGAGTGTAACCTGGGGGTAACTGCTGGACTGGAAAGAAAACTCAGTCTAAGCAGGTGGGAAGAATAGTGTCATGTAAAATGAGGGAGTTGTCATGTAAATAGGAGTGTTACCTTATGCTAACAAGCATGCTCATCTGTAACCAGCACACATTTTAAAATAAAGAGTATCTTGTAGATCTAGACCATAGACTTGGATGAAAAAGTAGGAGAGCTCATGAGCAGTAGACTTCACTAGAGAACTTACCTCATTGTGCAGCCAAATGCTCAGTGTCTTGCCATTTTTAATTAATAAAAAAAAGCTACACAGCATACTTCTGAGCTTTCTCAAAAGCATCCTCTTCCCATGAATACATCTTATCTAGGCACTTTGAGGTGTCTGGCCATTTCTCTCAAATTCCTAGGAATACCCAAGGGTTTTGTCAAGATGTAATATACAGGGGACACCTGCTGTGCACAGCCCTAGGTCCAACCCTCTGGGAGACATCAGAACTCCCACACACTCCTTGTGACTGAGAGCCTACAAGAAATCCAATGAGCTCTGGCTGCATAAGCAAATGCAGGTCACCTGAATAGCACATGAACACATTTCTTTTGCTTCAGGAAATCTCACACAGAAGTACAGGAGTTCTAGTCTTCATGATTATCACCAAAGCCAACTTAAGAGACAAAACAACTACTACAGAGTTCTCTCCATCAGTTCACTGCAGGTAGACTGCAACAACAGCTCATGGAAGGTTTGGTCATTCATAACTAACAACATATTTAAACATGAACCAGTGGTTTAAGGGACAGAGACAAAAGAGGCTTAGCTGTTTCTAATTTCAGTTGTATAAATTTAAACTGCTTCCATTGTTAATCCTAGAACGAGGCAGATTAATGTTTCTACATTTTTCCAGTTACGTTACATCACTGTTCACTGTTATTTCTTCATTAATCCTTTTTAGGAATAGTATCTGCCTAATGTTCTTTTCATTTCCTGTTGGAAGAGAGCATGCATATACAATAGGGAAGCAGAAGAACGGGGAAGCTAGGTTTTTCTAGGCACCAAAAGTCATCTTGCTTTCTACTCCTTTAGTAGCAAAGAAAGCCAATTATTCAATCCTCATGTGTCCAAACATTCCTTCTTCCTTTCCATCACCTGAAAGTTTGTAAGGCCACTATGAATGGTCTATACAAAAACGTACCTCCTTTGAAAGTATGGAGACTCTGTAAAATGCCTTAAAATACTTCCTCAACAGCCTGTGGGAAGAGGAATCCTATGCTGTATGTATTACCAGTAATGCAATCATACAGGAAGGAAAGTCCCTGTACACACCCTGCATACTTCAGTTTGTCACACAGATGCCACTACACTACAAAACCTAATATACGAAGCTGCATGTACTGGACAGACTTCCTGAAGACAATAGAGACCTTTAACACGTGAATAAAAGTAAAAATCTCACTTCATTCAGTGGAAATGTTTCTTTTTTCCCCTCCAAAAATCACTTTACAATTCTTCTGCTGTAGATATTGAGTAAATTTAAAGAAGAAGAAGGAAAAAAAAAAAAAAGGGACCTGGAGAAAAAGCTTTAATTCTGTTCTTATTACGGCACCTAGGAAGGTAAGCTAGACACACACAAAAATCATCAGTTTACCCATAGACCTATTCTACTTATCTGCTATCAGTGAAAGTTACAGTTAGGTTTTATCTCCTCCTCTCCCCTCAGTGACATAATGCAAAGTTATATGTCCTAATTTCACATTTTTTCTAGCAAAACTCTACTAAGCTAGACACACAGCTTGAATCATTAAACTGACTAGAATCCCTACAGATAAAGTACCTTGTGAAACCCTGTCCATGATTAAAATTTACCATTGAAACTACTCTTTCAGTGAATGGTCAGCTGCTATGTTCTTATGAGGATGGATTGACTACAAATAGCTAATGGAAAATTCAAGGATAAAGCAACTGATTCATAGGCATGTCTAAGCATTAGCAATTCACAAAAACAAAGGGTCTTACCATTCAAGAAATGAGGACTACATGTCTAAGTGATATATTCTTTCCTGGTAAGGAAACTTTTGTGACCCTCATTCCAAATTCTAGGCCTATATAACAAACCAGAAACAGAGATCGTAGAAGAGAACTTGCAAAACAGTTTTACGTAGAAAATACCTAAGATAACTGTAAGTATTCTGTTCTAAGTTTTATATTGAAGAATTTATTTTTAACTTCATGCACCTGAAATACAGTACTCACCTTTGCTAATAATTCCCTGTTTATTGTAAAGTTCACTGTTCCTGGACCAGCACTGATTTCACTCACTACAGCATCACATTTTAGCTAAAAGAACAAAATAAAACAGAAACCCTGCATGAAAACAGCTAAACTGGAAAACTGTAACTCAATCCATTATAAATCTTAATTTAATCCACTGTAAACATTTAATGTTATTTATTGGTTTGAAGCAATCAAAAATGGATCATTTAATCAATCTTCTTGGAAAATGGATAATTTTATTATTTCCAATCCATCCTTAATAGCTTTGAATGTAACTCAGCCTGAAATGTCACACGTTTTACTTTAGTCCCTGCATGCATACAGTCTGTTTTATTTTGACTGGGAGTTGTAGTTGATCTCTTTGTACACACAAAAACTGAGATACATTTGACAACTTTGAGCACCTGACAGCACTTTAAAAAAAAAAAATAAAAAAAATCAAAACTAGTGTCTTAAAAACAGACACAGAAATTTTTGACTGCTGTTACTTGAAGTTTCTGACCAACCCCTAACATCAACTTATTCTTTACACAAATTTTGGTCTTTTCATGGCCTCGGAGCTTTGGATCTCAACCTATCAGGTTTGAGAGTTTCTTACTAAACTTTCTGTCTTTCACAGCCAAGAAATTGTCTTTTAAAAAAATAATTTAAAAGGGATGGAAAGCATATAAGAGATAAAACAATCCAAAAAGGCAAGCTATACATTCTTACTGAAACTCATCAGTGAAAAAGAAATTCTACCTCCATGCTAGGTCTCCAGCTTTAACAGTAACTTAACCAGAAGATGAAATCAAGGTTAGTCTTGAAGTTCTTTAACCTTTACAAGCTCCAACAACAACAAGTTCCAATGTTTATTCACAAGCTAGCTACATGAAATAATATTTCTCATATCGACTCTGAATTTCCCACTTTAACCATTTTAACAAACACCCTTTTAACTTATGGGGCAGAGAGAAAACAGAAATTCCCACTGGGCTCTCTCCATACTGTTTGTTCTGCTGAACGTTTTCTACATAATCTGTCATTTGTCAGCTCAGTGGTTTTTATCTCTCTTTAATGTGAGTGCTCATCTGGCCCCTCCATAGCTTTAATAACCTCTCCTCCAAGTGCCCTGTGGTTCTTTAGTAACCAAATCTCCCTGTGCTTAAGGCTTGGATCAGAATGCCACTATGCTGTACAGAGGCATAAAATCCCCACAGCACAATGTCCCCTCCACCAAGAAGGGTCCAAAGATCAATCAAGAAACAACTAGCCAGGTGAAATCAAAAGCTGCTGGAAACAAGATAGTCCTGACCTTTCTGACAGACAATTCTCAGCACATCAGAGCGCATTATGCTTTAATATCATGCTGCCTTATTATTTAGGCTATTCTAGTCAACAAGAAAAATTTCAATCTCTTCTGCCTAACCTAAATATCTGTATTTCAAATATTGTGACCTATTTCCTCAGAAATGACTAAGAACATGCTGCTGAACCTTGAGGCACTTCAACTGCTTATCATGACAAAAAGAGGTAACTGCCTACATATTTCTGTCTCTCTGCTAGTTTTTGGTATGTGGTCATTTGCTAATTTCTACATTGCTTATTGGTCTGAACAAATTATACTAAATGCATCTCCTTTATTCAATACCCAACAAAAAACATTCCTAACAGATTAATGGAATTTTTAAACTTTGTATAACTGGCACGGTCTATTCATTTTGGGGAATTATATTGATGGTCCGTTGTTCTTTATTGTTACAACTGCTTTTCCATGTAAAAAGGCAGGGTAAGTATCCCAGGTTTATTTAATGAGCCACAAACAACAAAGAAGAGAGATAATTTGCAGCTATCTAAACACTGGGAATAGCAGCTGTTTTTAAAGTGACAGACTAGACACAAGGGAAAAAACTGGTACTATGACATTACAGTCATTGGAACGAATTGCCCAGGGAGGCTGTCAAATCCTTGCAGGCTTTCAACACCTGAGAGGATTTCAAAAGTCCTCAGCAACCAAATCCAATAACCATCAACAACCTGCACTGAAGAGATGGGAACAGATAATTTCCTGAGGTCCTTTCCAACCTGAATTATTGTATGGTTCTAGCTCATCTTTAAGTTGTTTCAGAACTTTTGGCTGTATATCTGTGCACCATCAGTTCTTCTTTCACTAGAATATTCATGTTACAAGAATGGGTCCAAGTTATGGATCTCTTCAATATCTCAGCAGTGAATGACATGGAGAAATAGTTCAGCTTCTCAACAGTATTACAACTGTTTTTATGTGACCTTTTAAACTCCTGATCAAATAGCAGCCCGGCTAATTCCTTCTCAAGCTTGCTCTTTCTGATGCAGATGAAGAATTTTGTTTGCACTTTCAGTATTTGATCTAGCTCCTCTTTGCAATTTTCACACAATTTAACACAATTTTCTAGTTTATACTCCTCTGCATTGGGATCAATGCATTTTTAGATTGTAAAGGATTTTTTTCAACTCAAGTGATCCCTCAACCTCAGCATCACCTTTCTGATCCCACTTTTGTTCAATTTTATAATTGCAAATTTCTCCAAGTTTTTATTTCCTTCCCTCCCTTCAAGGTTTGTGACACTTCTGTAGACTTTGTTTTGCACACTGCTTCTTTTTTTATGCTGTGGTTAGTCTTAATACCTCAGCTACTTCAATTTCTCAGAATAACACACCTGAAAAAATTGCTGTTCTAAGAAACCTCAATTTCAAGCAGTTATGGATTTGCAAGTCTGGCCTGTTTGTCCCACAGGCTAAATTTACCCATTGTCATGCTAGTGCTGGATTTTGCAGTCTTTGGATTTCCAAAATAGTATACTTAATTCCTTCCTCAAGTGCTGGGCAACAGTACAGACCATGGCATACCCTGTAGATACCCTCCTAACTTCACAAATATTATTTAATCTCAAACTATTTGAAAACAGTAATTTCACAAGAACCTTAACTAAAACTGCTTTGCCAATTCTGTGTGAAGATTCTGTGTACAATTATACTAGTTGCAGTTGACTACTCTGGCCCTGACAGATGCTTGAATAAACACTATTTACCCAATGATGCCTGTTACACCTATAGCCTGTAAGTTTGTTATTGCATAAATACAGTTAATACATTAGCTTACCCTTTCAGCTAGCTTCTGAGCTTGAAGATTAAGATCTGGTGCTAAGCAATCACTAGAACTGTCTTCTGTTACAGAAGCAATGGAAAGCTGGAAATCAGCAACACGACTGAAAAAAAAAAAAAGAACGTACAAAAAGGAAGAACAAAAACCTGCTAAAATGATGGGTAGACTTGGCAGATCCAAGCTGACTGCATATCACAAGTCTAACTGCCAAGCATAACCCAGTCACAGATACCTGAAAGTTTACTGTATTTAGAAAGCTGCACTATAGGGCCAAATACTACCTTTGCTCTAATGCAGTCAGAAAGCAGATATGGTGAGAATGCCATTTCAGAATAACTAAAAATCATGCTCATGAAAAAATGTAACTTACTTACTAACATCATTGCAACTCTTGAATGGGACACTGAAAAAAACTCCATGATAACTTCATACTGGTTCTAAGTAGTTTCACATTCAGATCATTAAAGCCAAAATATCTGCCATTCAAGGACTGCCTATAATTTGAACATCTTTTTAAGCAATTATATTGAAAAATCACAGCAATTTAATTAGATTTAGGTATCTTCTTATAATTGGATTGTATATCAGCTTAGGTTTGTTTTTTCTGTATTTGTTTTCCCCTAAAGTCCTATTAAGCTCTTGCAACAATAAGCACAACAGAAAATAGTAAAACATGACACAGCACTGTAAGATAATATGTAAACACTACCGTTTTTTGGAGACAGGAACTGCAGATATGGACTTTATTAAGTTTTCTGGTGGCAGATCCAAAACCTTTGAAAGCTAAATTTAAGAGAACAAAACGTCTTAAGCAAAAAAGATCCAGAAAAAATACTGCTCCTTACTTAAATACTCGTGGGGGATGCATATTTATGTCTGAAAGCAAATTTCGACCCAGGTAAAAAAAAATAAAAATCAAATGCTTATTAATTACTATAAACATTAAAAAAAAAAACCCACAAAAAACAAACAAAACCACAACGCAACACGCACAAGAAATATTAAAAGAGCCTTAGAAAAAGCAAGGCAAAACACCATGTATAGCTTCTCCTCCCCCCCCCCGCAGGATCCCATTAAACTCTCGCATGCCTTTATCGGCTTCTCGAGTCGCTACACCTCGCCCAGCTTATCCCGACCGCGTGAGCGGGGCGTAAGGGGGCCTATGACATGGAGGGCCTCGCTAGTAAGCTACGAGCCGCTGGCTGCTCGCCACGGTGAGGAGCGACCCCCTGCCCCGGTTCACTGCTCACGGCCTTCGGGGAGGGGGGACCTGCGCGGCCGGGGCCGGGCTGCGGGGGACGGCG